TCCCTGGGACAAGGAGGGTCGCGCACGGCGTGTCCATCGATTGTGAGGGGTACAGGACCAGGTGCTGCCAGCACCTCTGAGAGCTCATTCAAGACAGCTTTGTCCCCTTGGAAGCCAATTCCTACGCATTAAACGTTAGTAAAAGAACGGACTACTGTGAGGGTGACGCTACCGCCACAGTAACCAGGCTGCCCCCACACCAGGCTTCGCTCTTGGCACAGCGCCTTTGCCCACTTTCAGGTAAGATTTGTTCCTTACAAGGTGAGACTTGTCTGTGGTACATGCCGAAATCTCATCTTATAAAAAGCAAATCTTGCCTAATAGAAGGTGTGGCATGAGCGATGGCTGGTATGGATTTAGCCTGGCCGCTGTGGCGGTAGCCCTGCGGCAGGGGCTACCAACCACTTGGCTCAACGATTGCAAAGTGTGCGGCAATCAAATGTTTCAAATCATCAACATTTGCGGAAGAATCGAACTGAATTTCTCTTGCAGACGTTGGGCTTTCCCCCAGAAGATAGAACGTTTGCGAAGGCATTGTTGATACTGTGGTTGTCCGGCTGATGTTCTACAAATCTGAGTCTTGCACAGCATGATGACAGTTATATATCTTCGCAACGACAAGGCACCCCGCAGACATCCTGATGCTCGGTCAATTTCTGCTCGACCCACATACAGTCCAAGCCCTCAAGCAGTAGTGCAGATGTACTGTAAAGGTTTGCATATCGCGTGGCATGATTGTTCCTCGGAAGGGTCTGTCACCATCCGAGGTTCGGAGCTGATGAACGGATAAATGGCCAGACCGGCAAGCTCTTCCTCGGAATGGTGAACGCCAACTACGGTGAACGCCAACTATTGTGGTAGTATCCACAGTGACAGTTTATGTTTTGCAACCGTGGGATTAGGTATGTTTCAGAAGTATTCGCATACAAATAGAACCGCAGGTCATCACTCTTAAAGCGCATCCAATTCGCTGTCCAGCGCTAGAAGCATTTACTTCTGCACACGCCCGTCACCACATTTGTCACAATCTGAATATTGCAATCACCACGATGAAGACATTCTCCTTGGAGGAGGTTGGCTCACACAATAGCAAGACCGATTTGTGGGTTGCCATCCACGGAAAAGGTGAGTGTTCAAGTTATCTGAACATTCGTGCTGTCAGCACACTAATGTGCTGAGCTTAGTGTACGATGTCACAAGCTATGTAAAGGATCACCCTGGCGGTGCCGATCTCCTGATTGATGTTGCTGGCCAAGATGCGACGGCGGCATATGAAGACGTGGGCCATTCAGAGGATGCAAATGAGATTCTGGAATCCTTCCTGATCGGGTCATTGAAAGATGCGGTGGAATACAAGGCTCCTACAGCTGTTAGACTTATCCGGCCAACATCGGTGTCATCACCTGAAAAGAAGGATGGTTACAATGCTACTCGTACTGTTGGTCTCACGGTTGGCTCGGTTGGCTCGCTTTATCTTGCGTCCAAAGCTTTCAGACCACAGCTCAGCCTTCATCATCTAGCTGAGATTCTTCCCAGCCTGCCGTCCCTGTCATCAATCAGGTTGTCTTTATCCCTACCTCATGGAGGCTTTGCTACTGGAGCAGCCGCCACAGCCTGTATCTGTGCTGTACTAGGCGGCATGGTCGCTTCTCGCCTTGCGAAGCTCACGGAGATTGAGTCGGGTTTCACGAAATACCCACCACGAATTAAAAGAAAGACTATACACAGGCCAGACCCTCACCTCGTCCCTGGCTTCCTTCAACCGAAAGAATATAAGAGCTTACCACTCGTGGAAAAGACACTGCTCGCCCCCAACGTCTATCGATTCGTCTTTCAGCTTCCTCGGAAGGGGGATGTGGTTGGTCTGCCTATCGGACAACACGTCGCCATCAAAGCAACCGTCAACGGCCAATCCGTTTCGCGATCATACACCCCGACGTCAAACAATCTTGACTTGGGTAGACTGGAGTTGGTTATCAAGTGTTACGCCGATGGCTTGCTCACAGGCCAGTACCTTGCCAACCTCAGTGTCGGTGACAAAGTCCTCTTCCGTGGGCCCAAAGGCGCGATGCGATACACGAGAAATCTCTGCAAAAAGATAGGCATGATAGCTGGTGGCACGGGGATCACACCTATGTTCCAGCTTATTCGCGCAATCTGTGAAGACGACAAGGATACCACCGAGATCTCTCTTGTTTACGCCAACCGTACGGAAGATGACATTCTCCTGCGAACAGAGCTGGAAGCATTTGCATCTGCGTATCCAAGATCGCTGAGAATATGGTACATGTTGGATCACCCTCCGAATGACTGGCAGTATGGCAAGGGCTACGTGACGCCCGATGTGATGCGTGAAAAGCTCCCTGAGCCTGGTCCAGATACTAGGATCATGCTTTGTGGTCCTCCCGGCATGGTCAATGCTGCCAAGAAAGGTTTGGCAGGTCTAGGATTTCAAACACCAGGAGCGGTGGCAAAAATGACGGATCAAATCTTCTCTTTTTAGAACGCTCTCTTTAGCACTTATCCTGTATTCGTGCCCATTAGACTTGTGTATATAAAATCTATTTAGATCATACAAATTATTCGGCTTCCCTCATAACTCAATTTGAACCCGCTTGTCGGTTCAGATTTTTACTGATAGAGGCGTGCGGCTTTGAGAACTCATTATTAGATTAGAATCATGCATGTTAACCTCACATAAACAAAGCCACGGCCGACTCTACTAGAGCGTGAGACAATAATGTTAGAGACAAAAACAATCTTACTCTATTCCCACACTCGAAGAAAGTTATCTTGGTGAGGCATTGAAGACATAGTAGTGCCAAAATCAGACTAACTTGAATTTTTAGCCTTACCGTAACAAGTAGGAGTATGCGTGTACCTTTTCCTTGAAGGTGCCCACTTACCTTGGCTGAATTTCTCCGAGGTGAAAAGTGTCGGCATGCCGAGCGCCCCCGAATTAGATCCGTCCCCGCCAATCGGAACGCAGGAGCCGGGACGTCTTTCCGAGGTAAACATCCCGTCTAGACCCGCCGCAGCGGTAATGTTATCGAGGATGGAAATACGAAAGCAAGGCACCATGGAACACTCAGGTGCATCAATGCATCAATTTGAAACAGCGATGTTCAAAAGATCCGAGGATAGGCAAAGCTGCCTTATCAAGGAACACCCTCGGTGGTGCAGAAGCCACGGATGACTCGGGACACACTTGATGGATGTAGAACCAGACATTGCCATTCTTGGAGAAGGAGTGGATTCGGTGATGCATCAGATTTGCTTTAAAAGATGAAAGCGCCCTTTCCATAGGTTACGACGAGCTCTCTGGATATACAATAGATTCTAACTTTACATTCACTCGAATCGAAACATCAAACCAAGAGGACCATACTCCAACCATACCTGCAACAATGACTCCAACCTGGCAACCACCTAAGGAGTACCGGGAACGTCCTGTAGCAGTTCTCGGTGGTGGCGTTTTAGGACGTCGTATTGGTAGAAGACCCTGACCTCCAGGCTGACAAACAATGCATGACACAGCTAACCATCTTTCCAGCTTGCATCTGGGCATCAGCAGGCTACAACGTCCACGTCCGTGACCCAAGCCCCCAGCAGCGCGCAGACTGCATCACCTACGTAAATGAGAATGTCGCCTCATATGCAGTACACACAGCAGCGAGCCCCGGCCCCATCACAGCATTTGAGGATCTGGCACAGGCGATAGAGAATGCGTGGCTTGTCATAGAGTGCGTTCCTGAGGTACTCCAACTCAAGATCGACACCTTCGCAGAGCTAGAGAAACATGCTCCGACAGACTGCATTCTGGCAACCAACTCATCCTCCTATCGCTCTTCAGAAATGTTGGACAAGGTATCAGTCGCAACGAAGACGCGTATCATGAACATGCACTACTACATGCCTCCACAGGTCATGGTTGTGGAACTGATGACGGATGGATTCACAGAGCCATCAATTCTTCATTTCATGGCTGAGCGCTCGAAAGAAGTGGCGACCAAGCCTTACATTGCGAGGAAAGAATCTACTGGATTTATTTTCAATCGTTTATGGGCTGCTGTCAAGCGCGAGGCCCTTACCATTCTGGCTGAAGATGTTTCGACGCCGAGCGAGATTGACTCACTATGGACTGAGATGTTTGTGAAGGGAGGGACGCTGCCTTGCAAGATGATGGATGGTATGCCTTACCCTGTACACTACCAACTCTACAGTTTATGCTGATTATTTTATTGCTACAGCTGTTGGACTTGACACCGTGGCTTTCATCGAAAAGCACTATATTGCTGAACGAGGTCTCGGTTCTGAGAAGACCGTCGATTTTCTCCAAATGAACTACCTTGATCATGGCAAACTTGGAAATAAATCATCCAAAGGAGGGCTTTATCCGCCCGCGGAAGAGAAATAAGCTGCAACTGTTGTTTTAGTCTCGCTGGCTAGATCTAAAGTACTTGACCTCTAGTTGTGATATTAATATCTGCTTCTATGGCTGGAATTTAGCGAGTACAGATGCTATGAGTAATATCCTAACGCCATAGTGGATAGTTTAGCTAAAGTATCTTATCAATTAGTCACTGTGGCCGAGTGGTTAAGGTCAGACTCGAAATCTGATACGTTCGCATATTCTGACGATTCATATCTTCTTTTGTCTTGTTTTTGTTTTTTCTTCCCGCAAATTATCTTGCTATTCATCAACATGGTTGCTTTCAGTTGAGTGATTGACTTGTTACGGCTTCATTCTCATTTTCGCGGGTGATGAGGTGGGACCAGAATTGTTGCTTGACATTTCTGTACCCCAACTAGTACCTGAAACTCTACATATGCTTGGCAGTAAGCACTTAGTCGATAACCACTGGACTCGCTTCATGAGGATGATTAACCAATTATCCCACAACTAACTCTCACCATCACTGATCTCTAGGCCCCTTCCCCAACTCCCCAATAGCCCACTTCCCGTTTCCATACGTATCAGTATACCTCCACGACATCCACTAACCAACCGAAACCGGGGGATATTTAACACCTTGTTCACCCTCACAGCCAGGAAAGCAACGAATCGTATAGTCCGGATTCCCGAAGAAGAAGGAGAAGAAGAAGAAGAAGAAGAAGGGCACGCTAATTTTATCCTTACCAAGATAGCGGTCATTCTTTGTTGAGGCATCTGCCGGAGTAGGCGTAGTTACGTGCCTGGTGCTCAGGCCGCCCACAAACGACCTCTTGCTTTGTTTTGCTAGAGCACCTAGATAGCTACTAATTCAACTCACTCTTTTGCTGCAATTCGCGTGCGTTCGCTTGCTTTTTCGTTCTTTCGTTGCTTTGCTAGTAATCTCGCGCCTCAACATTCTTCCTTCGCATTATATACGCACATCGCTCTCAGCATCCACACACCCCAAAGTATCTCGGAAACGAGATTACCTCCCTAACCGACCCAGCCCCAGTCAAATACTGCAAAAGTCGCTCAAAGCCAATCCCAAAGCCCCCGTGCGGCGACGTTCCCCACCGGCGCAAGTCGGCGAACCATTCCACCGACTGAAGTTCCTCCCCAGAATGGAGGTAAGGATACGGCTTTGCATCAACAGGGGCATTCCGTTCTGGCACAGGGCCGGGCTTCTGCCCCCGTAGGAACCGTTTCTTGCGCATAGTATCAATCAATATATCTAGGCGGTGTTCCCTCAGGCCACCGCTGCACACCTCCCCGATCCCTGGTAAGAGCAGATCGAAAGACCTGGTGGTCTGGTCAGGAGGGAGGTCCTGACCGGGAGGTATTTCGCATATATCCTTGGCAGATCTGTCCTGTGCATGCTTCGAGAACACGGAACAGTGCCAGGGCCAAGGATGACTTCCCAGCTCCAGTTCGTCCGGCTATACCTACGCGCTGGTAAATTTCTACCCTGAAGGTGACATTATGTAGTGCTGGCTCTATGTCAGGTGCATATTGTACTGATAAGTCCCTGACTTCGAGTGTTCCATCGTAGGGCCAGCCGGCAGGGGTGGGATTGCCACCGTCGCTCTCGGTCTCCATATGGCAGTACTCAAGGAATCTTTCCACACTGTGCAGATCAAGTTCCAAAGACGCATAACTGCGAATCCTAAATGATATCGACTGAGTGAACTTCAGGGTGGAATTAATGGCGAACCTGGCAATTGACGCCTCGACCTCAAGAAAAACCACAGCAGCCGCGCAAATTGCAGTAAAGACAGCCCCAATCATATCCAACCGGACAGCTAGCCACTGATTAAACAGCCAACTGTGCCATTTAGTACGTGCGCGACGATATAAGCGCTGTCGGGAACTGTTCCTGATAGACACGAGCTTTCCCGAATGCCCGAATCGTCCACAAAACGGCCATGCACGACTCGAGGTGGTCGTAAATCGGACTGCGAGCCACGCTGTCAAGTCGCTTTATCTGTCGCGCAGCTACCAAGTACCAATTGGCACACCTAGCGGTAATTAGCCCCAGAATAAAGCTGGAAATAAGTGAGAGTGGGTTGATGATCAGGCTTGGATATACAGCCATCAGGACATCCATTCCGTAAGACAAAATGGCTCGCATGTCGTCTCCTAGTTGAGAGTCCACGAGATTAAAGTCATCTGAGAAACGGTTGAGTATTCGTCCAAGAGGCACTGTGTCAATCCAACGCAGGGGCATCCGGAGGACTTGGTGGAGAAAGCAACGAAAAAGAACCTCCGAAGCCCTTAAAGAGCCGATCATCGCGAAGTAACTGCGAGTTGCACCGACTGTGCACACTAGCACAGACAAGGTAATGTAGATTTTGGCGTAGTATGACACATTGTATTTCTCATCTGATGCTTGGCTGTGGAAGGATTGGCTCTATTTTCCAAGCCACCAGGTCTGTGAGAGCATGAGTACAGTTTCTGTTTTGACCTGGGAACTAGGAACTTACCCTGCTCAACATGAGTACGCTATAGCTTAGAAAGGCCATCACTAAGCACATCCAGTAGGAACGAGTGCCACTCTGCTGGATATAATCTTGCAGGACGGTCCATCTGACAGCTCCTTTCTCCCTAGTCTCTTCGACTATGAACTTTCGGGACGATCTGACGGTCGCGTCGTTATCGGAGCTGCTGTGGCTGACTCCCTTTACGAAGGGCTTCATATCTAGATGATCCGTCCAACTGTCATCCACCTCGTCCTGTGTTTCTGGGTTCGCGACGGGATTGAAGTGTGCGGTAGCCCCATTAACGTGCACTATGCCTTGAGCATGATCCCGGCATAAGGACACATGATGAGTTGCGAGAATACGCGTCCTATCCCGTGCAAGTGGCCCAGCCAGAGCATAGTGGCATAAATGGGCAGCCGTGTGTACATCAACGGAGCTGAATATATCATCCAAGAGCAGAACCGTTGCTCTGGAATACAGCGCTCGGGCTAAGCAAAGACGGGCTTTTTGCCCACCGCTCAGATTAACTCCGTTTGGACCCAGCTGAGTCTCGTCCCCATCCACCATGGCTTGCAGATCTGACTCCAGTGCACATGCAAAAATCACTTGCGTATACCTTCGAGCGTCAAACGGCAAGCCAAACAAGACATTATCTCGGATGGTAAGAGCCTCTATCCAAGGCGTTTGTGCGACGTAGGCGATGGTATCTTCTAAGAGCCACTCATGGTACTTTTCAGATATAGGGGTCCATTCTCTTCCAGTTGGGGTTTTGACCGTACCGTTGAGAATGTCACACTCTCCCAACATTGCCGCCAACAGAAGGCTCTTGCCAGCACCCGTGGGCCCCGTAATCAGGGTCAGGCAGTTTCGTGGAATACTCATATTCGCGTTTCTCAGAACCTCTGCATTGTAGCCACTGCTTCCTCGCCATGTCAACGAAGCTTCACAAAAATCAATACTTCTGGAAGGCAAAACAGCTGGTAAATGTTGAAGTGTATCCAAGTACTCGGAGAGACGCTTGGCGCTGCGTATACAGTTAGAACCAGCAGTGACCACACTGGGGCACTGCATTGAGTGAATTTTGCACGGTGTTGAGGATTGACATAGCGGTAAACGCTGTGGCCGGCGACAGGCTTCCATGTAGCAGTGAGTACACTGTCAGCAGCACGGTTGACAGGACCGTTGGGGTCAATAGATAGAACGACATCAAAACGAGATTCCACTGGAAGGCTTATCTTTGCACTTCCAGCTCTCCCGCGCGTAATGCATTGATTTTTTCTTCCCATTGCTCTTCCGTGGCAGAGAACTTGATTTGACGAATGCCATGAAGAGCTTCCGTGACAGAGGCAAGTTTGCGATCACGATAGTCCATCAGTTCCTTCTGAGATCGGGAATACCGCTCGATCGCATAGTTGTTCAATGGCCAAGATATGAATAGGATCAGAATGCTGACGAAAAGGCTTTGCCAACCGACAAGCCTTATAAGAACCACGGAAGATATCAGAAGTCGCAGCGGTGTCTCATAGACCGAGAAAGAGTTCGAAACAATATCGGAAACACGCTTCACATCCACTGCCATCAGATTTGTTAGGTTTCCGGAGCATTGCTTGCTTCCCATGCTGCCATCCTCCGAATCTGCAGACCGGCCTGTGCCGGGGAAGCTGTCAAAAGTGACTGCTTCATCAAAGAGTGCAACCATAAGATGGTTCTGCAAGCGGAGTGATAATGATCGATACGAGATCCAGCATCTTCAGTGGTCTAATACCGCTGATACTACAAGTGGGAGGCACAGGCCAAGCACATATACCCAGGCACCAGATCCTCTGTTATCCTCTTCTATAGAACGCAGAAGACCGAATAGAGCAGCTTGTGGGGCGAAACCCAAAGCAACGCAAGCGACTGTCAACAATGCCAGACTTGGCAGTGTTTTATAGGCAAGATGCCACACAGTGCTTATGAACTGCTGCTTGCTGGTGTGTAATCCATCACTCTGCTTGACAGAAAATGCGCTTCGTAGACCTATGGCACTGTACTCACTCGGGACCTGGGGAAGGTCTCCAACTTCGAGTGAGCCCGTTCGATTGGCAGTATATAGAATGGGCCCTGCCCAACTGAACGTCACACGACCAACAAAACCGGCGCTGCCTTCCCGGTCAAATTCTCGTCCTTCTGGAAGATAGTCATATGGACCAGAAAGCCAGAGCCTCCTGAAGGCACTTGGAAGGAATCTCCATAACCTCATCTTCCGTTGCCTTCCTTGTAGTGCACTTTCCTCGGAAATGACTCCGCCTGGTATCTGTCTTGCCGATAGCAGTGGGTAGCGGGACGAAATGCAGGAACAAACACGGTAGGCACTCAGTATCTATGCTAGGTGGTTTGTGATAGGAGAAGGCGTATAATCGAGTGCTTGACTAGCCAACTTCTCGACGAACTCTATTCTCACCGCCTCTCTACTTGCATGATTGATTCCCCAGGCGCAACATATTGCTTGGTCAGTAAGTTCATATTTAGCGCTGAGATAGCGTCCAATATTATGTAGTGTGGTATACGTAACTATGGAATTGATAAAGCTAAAATTCTATAAGTTTGACTAAGTATTGAGTGCGCTCAGGCAGAGAAAGGTAAGACGATATTTGCATTGCGTGGTTCGCCGATCGGCAATCGAGGTGGCTGGATTCCGTACGGAGTTTTGAAATTTTGCAATCTACTCAGAGTATAGATACCGGAATGAGTGATCTATTCAGCTGAAGTGGGTCTGGTGGCCTACGCTCGCCACTCCCTGAGTATTTCCTACTGCATGCCATGACTGGGATATCTGATCGTCGGGAATTCATCTAGGACATGCCCGAATGCTCCTCTTTGGGGCCTGTGTGCATAGGGTGTGGATTTCAGCTGAACTCTACATGTTGCGCGAATAACTCCTGTCCGACATCGGTCGCACCATATTTTTATCATGTATGGACCGCCCCATCCAAACTAAACCACTAGCTTATCATCTGATGGGCAATCTGCCATGTTCTTAGCATGCAGGTGGAGGAAAAGACACTCTGCCCACTGCTGCCTTGCTAAGATGATTTTGTGTATCATGCTGGGCTCTCATGACATACCTTGTGCATAAGGCAGGGGTTTCCGATGAACAAAAGTAATCACATAGTATCATTAATGAGGATTGGCCAAACAACAAGATTTTCTTATCTTATAAAGTCTTTTCGTCGATAACGGAGGCAATTACAGAAGTTATATTTCTGCTTCTATTACCATGGATTGTTAAGAAAGTCCAGAGACATGTGCAAACGAGAAGGCTTAATTGTGACTAGTGCTTAAGCTTGATTTCATCCTTTCATCCCACTGAAGTTCACCTATCCTCAACACTATGAATAGGCCGCAATGGCCTTCTTGAACGCAGCCGAAATTTCATTCAGAATCAATGGTGCCAACTCCGCATACGTCCCTGACAACTTGTCCTGTACCGCTGACCCCAACGCCTTCGATAGAATGCTCAACTCTTGCAGATCAAACTTGACTAAGAAACTCAATGATGCAATTCCCAACAACCCATCGTCAAAATCGGACTTTTTTGACACAATGTTGGCCAGTGTAGATGCGATTTGTGGCTCCAGCGTAACGAAAGCTTCCGCTACCTTCTGCGATTCGGTGTCGGTGAAATTGGCAGACTGCCGGGTCACTTTGATTGCGATCTTCAGATCGACTTCGAGCTGGATTGTTTCCGCTTGGATTTGCAATGCAGATAATGTTCCTTCAATGCCGCCCGGGTAGTTGCTCACGGTGGTGTTGAGGGTAACCAGTTGGGTAGAGATGGTGTTGACGGCGGAGACGACGCTGGAGCCATCTCGCTTGGTTGGTAAGAGTACTTTCGCCGGTGTTGCTGTAGCTACTGCTACTGTGGCAGTGAAAAGTAAGGTGAGGAGGTACAAGAAGTTCATGTTTGTTAGTGGTGCTCACTTGGCAACTACAGAATGACTCAGTCAGACGCCCATGCATTTGATTTATACACAGGTTTGATAATGACTCGATCATCTCATTTCAACCCCGCTTCTTAGCGGCCAGCCTTTTCCGATTGATGTTACATTCAACCTGTACAGCTAATTTACTGGTGCTGACTCCCATAGTCCCCGCATGACGCTATCGTTGCTTCTACGAATCAAGCTGATTGATGATCTTCGAAATTGCCTCAACAGGAATAGTGGCCCGGTCCCTTAATTACATTTGCAGCTGGACGGGCTGCATTTTTCCCTTGTAGCTCAGATATATATTAACTATCTAATCTAACAGGCTCATGTTCCTTGCAATGGTTGGTGCGAGTCAAGCCACCGTATGATAGCATGTGCTTCCGAGGCCTAGAGGACCCTGATATTCATCACTCAGCCCGCCACGAATTTTCCAAGCATGTGACTTCCAATCAGCAAAACAATACTAGGTTGCAGGTTGATTATCTTAGCAATCTCTGTAAAATACTCGCTTTATTCTATCCACTGCGGAAGTTTTTCCGATGGTATAAGTTGTTGTCTGAATAGGTTCCAGCGTACCAACAAGTCCACCCTTGTCTTTCGAACTTTACATCTTCCATCAGTAATATTACTCTTCATTTAGCTACAAAGCTATAGTGCTACTATACAGTTCTCGTTTAACAACAATGACGACACAAAAGGCAGAGAGTCTCCATTCTTTGTATAGTTATTCGGAGATGAGCTTCACTGGGATCATCATTGAGCTTTGCCCTGTTCGTCACACCTTGTCTCACAGTTATTGGAGGTGAAGATGCTCGAGTGCATGCATGTATCGACAGGCCTTTTTAAAATACGCTTGATATATGTTTAAGCTTTGAAGATGCTTGTCCACCATTTTACGGCCGCCAAACGAAGTATTTGCCTGATCACTAGGTTAGGATTAGATATTAGCAAGTTTTCATTTGATTACTTAAGCATAGTTCGATAGTTATGTTTCATCTAGGATATATAAACATAGATAACCTATAATGTTTGCACATTAGGATGTTAGCCCTTGATATGCACATTAACATATACATGCTGTAACTATTGGTTGTATACTGCTTAGTAAATGCATTATGCCTGATTAAGTCGGCCCCTGGATGTCCAAGTATGTAGAAGTGTTCAACCATAGTAAGTCAATAGCCGAGCGTCTTAGGTACGCCCAAATTCTATTTCCTCCATTCCTCTCTTTATTCTCCTCTCATTCCTCCTTCAAGTCATAACTACCTGATAGGGAATTACTTGTCAGCCCTTTCCAAATGTTCATTGGTCACGACTTACAGTACATACCTACCCACTGTGATTGTCCATTCTTGCATACTCCCCACACTCCTGTCGGTGCCGAACTATGCCCTCACTGTCTTTACTTGCCTCCTTTTTAGCCACAGTCCTCTGTTCGTGCATACTCTGAACCTGTCAAAACACGCCCCTAGTGGACTTTCAAATTGAACACTCTGAACTCAGCACTGCGAGGCCAACCAACAAAAGACTGGAATTTTGAGTCTGTTGACTCAGAATGCACATCCCCAATAGCCTTACTACAGTGGATGTGAGGTCAGATGACATTTACCCCTGACCGATGGGTGACCCAGTCCTAAATCCGAGATGGATGATAAAGATTATTGCTTCAGCAAATTGGTATAGCCTGAGGCTGCATCTGATACCGCTACAACAACCTCCGATGCAAGATTGTGTTAGAAAAAATATAGAACCCCTAGCCACTAGCACCAGTTCTCACATACAAGGAGCGATGCGTTCTGCTTACAATCCTGAGCCTGTATTTTATGTTATGTGGGTCATAACAGCTCGATGAAAACATAGTTCTAAAACTCAAAAGCAAGATGATAGCATGCCTAAAGGGCCCTCTTGCGAGCGACGTCAGTCAAGAATTCAGATTTCAACTTCTGTTACCCTTCAATATCGCACATATAAAAGCCCTCAACTCCTCACCCACATCATTGTTTGTTGTCATCAAAAGCCTCCGAAGAAACACAATGTAAAGAAACCCCAACTACGATCTGCATTCTCGCTCTCTAGCTTGACCAGCACTTTTGCGGTCCTCTCCCTCTTTACTCATGTGTCCGCCACTTGCACGCTATACGGTAGCAGCGACCTTCAACGCAATTGCGAATGGTACGGTACTGCACCGGGTTGCGGTACCTCTTCCTACAGTATAAACGATCGGTATTGAAAGCCACTACCCAATGGGACACTGCCTATACACTCTGGGAAAGCGGTAATATCTCCTGGGAATGCTATAAAGATTACGGAGCTGGTTGTTTAAGTGGTTATAAGAGGTTGTGGTGTGGTGACTGGCGTTCGTATTAACCCTATCCTATTAGAGTGAGAGTTCAACCCTTACTGACACTCGCGGTATCTGCACAGTCTAGAGGAATGCCATCCTTTGATAGTACGATGAGTGATTTGGGTTTGATGCTTGGATCTACAGTCGCGCCTATATCCGATCTTTTAGTTCCTATCTGAATAGGAGGGTGTCTCCTTGTTTACATGTATGCATGCTTATACTTGATAAGCTTGTTCCACTCTTTTATCCTGTTCTTACTAGTATTTTTTGAATGAACAATGACATCATAATCCAGTAGGCCAATAATATGTTCTACTCTTTTCGATGATTTAGTTTGATACACGATTCAAGCAACAGTCTGATAATGATCTTATTCCGCTCCCACATATGGCGGTGCCATGGGAACGCATCCTGAAGACCCAAGTTGAATCGCTTAGAGACAGGACGTATCGATATATTCAGAGTTAACTATATAGATAAAGTATATTCAATACTGAACACGTTGCTAGAAGGTCAGACGTGGGGAATAGATAATAGAACCATACTCCTCTATGTGCATAGATTATAAGAGTCCTTCAATGGCTATAATAAGTGGCCTGGCACGCATAAATGTATCACGATGCAGATGCATCTGAAGGGTGTTTGATCTAGAAGGAGGACATGGTTAGACAATATGCAGGAAGGGACTTAGTAAGGACTCTGTTGCAACGGAGTCCCACGTGAACTTTGCTTCATTCTGACCGGCGTCGATAGAAGTTTATTTTATAAAGTAACCTTTAGCTTTATGGCCCACTCGTCTTCCAAATTAGGACAATATGTCAACTTTAAGCCCCTGAAAAGCCTCCAGCATACTGATCAGATAAATACAGTCTCATTCTCATCAGTCTCATTATTCCAAACCTGTTCCTCCTTTACAGGCCCTTGTGCCGGCTTCCGCCACGGGTAGGTGCATAAGGCTGTCTTGAAAAAAAGCTGGCAATGGTCCCACATATATTTTAGTTTTCCCCGCATTTGCAATGCTGCCATCCCAGAAAAGTATTACCCTTTGCCCGTAGAGAGAAGAGTAAAGACCATAGAGATAGTTTCCCAATTCTAGAAGAAGGTCAAGCCATTCACTACCAACAGGTACGGCGGGTTCCAACACTTCAGTAAGGCGCAGCATAAAACCAAGTATTACATTCGCCAAGTGCAAGTGCTTCAGTAGCATGCTCTGATATCGGCGTTTTCTAAATGGCCCATCCAGAAGGAAAAGGCTTCAAACCTGGTAGTAGCTCCGCATGAAGCGATGGCGTTCTGTCGGAGTCAAATGCAAGAGATCAGGATTTCTGTGATAATATTGGTCACCAATGTGGGGTGTGGCCACTGGGAAGGATGCGATTTAGCCAGGTGTCGATGATATGATGAGTCATAGATATACTCACTTTGAATGTCCGTCAAAATAACATGGTCAAATTCATTGATCGCTTTCTCTACTTTACGATAATTTCTCCGCAAGTGCCGAAAATGATGGATCCCAAGTGTTGAAGAGATAGAGGGCAAACTCCCCTGGTCTACGAGTAAGAGTCTGGCGTATATTCCACCTTTGATATGTCTGCGTAGGCGTTTGTAAATCGTAGGTGTATGGTTGTCCAAGATGAGACGGAGTTGGCGGCAAGTGGCAGCCAAGTTGAAGGCGTCTGAAAATGAGAGCTCTCCGTATATCCGGATTATGACTTCTATGGGGCACGGGATCTTCTCCTGACAAGGTGGGCATGTAGTGGCCTATGGAAAGTTTCCAAGGATATGGAATGGGTTTGATGAGAAGAAAGGATGAGCTGTCTCTGTCATTTATCTTCCAGGACCATGTGGTGTCATGTGATTGGGGAACGGATTCGCTCTGGAACATGCATCGTTTAGGCATCAGTGCTTCTAACCTCAGCAAGGAGTTTATCCATATTTCATTGTAGGCCTAACGTTGTCCTTGTGGTCTCCAAATCAAAACACATCCCAAAATCAAACTTGCCGTGAGGGCCTATATGGAACCTAAAGGGATCTGTAGAAGTATTAGGCGTAATGCTGTGGTACCTGTTATCACCTGTGGACTTGGAAAGGTTTTGAATGTCACTAGGCTGTCTCTTACCTGAGAGCGCTACACCATAACGATCTTTTGAAGGATTTTGGTCAATTCATTTCTTATTCCAAAACCTGATCGAACCCGCTATGTAGGATGCTATCGATGTAGATACATCACCATCGGGTGGGGAATCATCGCCTGGGATACTCCCCAATCACCTAACTCGCACAGAAAAAAACATGAAGTAGGTAATAGAACAATATGATGCAGCATAGAAGGCTCGTCACCACAGTTATACACCCAACTACTGTAAATATACAGCACTAGGCAAGGCAAAGCATAGTTATACAGAATGTAGAAAAAATCAACGAATGGGGCAGCTGCCTAGTCAACTGCCTACACAGCTTATCGATACGCAATTTTGGTAGCACTCAAGGGGAGCTCCCATATTAGTGTCGATCGATTGCACTACATTTGTTTTCTGAGTATCTATTCAGAGGTAGGGTGGAATTAATGCACAACTTGTAGTTACTCGCTTATCAGTCATCCCAAACGTTCCTTTCCTCTCTCTGTGTAAGTGATTTCACTCAAATAACACCAATGCCTTTACGTGCTAAGCGGCTCTCACAATTACATATGTTCATTTCCTCAACATATACAAGGAGAAAAGAACACTTTCTCAGAGCCTAATGGATACCCTAATAAAGCTATTGACATCCTATACTTAATAGATAACGTTGTCGACATGTATGAGCTTGTAAGTGAAGCATTCACTATGAATTGTCGGTATGTAACAGGAAACTGACAACATTCAAACTTTGGAATTGTGAACCGACTGACTGATAAGGTTTGTGTGGGTAGAACAATCTACTACAAGCGCGTGGGTGGCTTTTTCCAGACTCGCACGGGTCAGTGGTTCGACTGTGCCTTACCATAGCTGCAGTCCAATACATACTGAAACATGTGATTTTTGTTCAGCCCCAAGGCACCTTCATCAGATGTATAATAGAGTTACATATCTTTATAATATACTCATCGCAATTTTACAACACGGAGATGGTTCCGATGGTTCTTGTGGCCTGGTGGCTTCTCGTTTACCAACAAGCCTACCCATCTCTCCTAATTTCTATCACCAATCAGTACAATTGATCTTCATTGGCCTGAAATACCTCTCAGGTATATGTGATGATATTTTGCCAATCCCCTCTCTCGCTATAACACACAGAGTGTTCTAGTTGGTGTCTTCCAGGATACCTATTTGGAAGCTTTCCCTACCTTGCTTCACCCCTGCGCTAGCCCCAGGCAGCTACAATAAGAATGTCGCCCTAATCTACACATTGAAAATCACGATATAAACTCTCCATTACAGTAATCTTTCACATACGACCATAGGGTGTGGAAAACAGGGCTTCCCGTCCGCTCAGCCGTACTTAAGCCACACGCCGGGAGGTTAGTAGTTGGGTGGGTGACCACCAGCGAATCCCTTCTGTTGTATGTATTTTTTCTGACTTTTTCTTGCCTTTTTCGCGCCTCTTTGTAGCGCTTTTAGCGAGATATAACCATCATTGATGTTCTTTGTTTGAATGGGAGGATGTGGTTAAACGATCGCACGAATTAGTCCACACATCTCTCTGGTTCTATGCAAGCGCGGGTGACCCCATTGGCAGCTGAGAAGGATACCCGACTTCAATGATGGATCAAATACTTGACCCGACAAACGATATATTCCAAAAGTTTCAAATTAGTATACCGAGAATACAATCGTACAGGCCATACATAATGGTTCTATCTAGCTTGGATATTTCGGTCAAATCTCCGTCTCCCGCTTGTCTTCCCACTCATTCATCCTGATACACAACGACTTGAACATTCAGCCAGATTCCACCAGTACCACGTCGAGCGTTGATATAAAAATGAACCCCTGTATTGTGTTTACTTTTTAAACAGCTCTGCACTGAAGGGGTAAACCGCACTCTGCCGTTCCATCACAGTCTCTGTTCATGTCTCTGTTTCATGTAATGACTGTCTCGAAACGTCCTTTATAACCTATAATAGTTTCCTGCTCGGCTTCTAGAATTGTTCGATGGAGACAGGCTGAGCCATGAGGATACATTCCGCGTCCTATTTAGATAAAGGGGAAAGGGCATTGTGCATCTAACATTATTCGCGCAACGGTCAGCTGATAATTCGCTGCCTCTTCTCCCTGCGTGGTCTGACCACCAACCGAACTCTGGAGAATGAATAGATCATATACGAATCTTTGACCCTCTGCCTTGAGAAAATTGTAAGCCTCGAATTCCATGTCAATGAGCATAGGTGGGAAGGCGATATATGATGTACCTACCAATGACGGAAGTAGTAAGAAGCGATAGGAGTGTCATAAGACACTCCGTAAAAGATCACATTAGGATGCACAGGCCCCCGACACTCCCGATATCAGAATCGGGGAAGAGGGAGGAGGGAGAGGGCGGAGGAGCTCATGGCGGCGGCGAAGGACAGGTGAGGGCCCGAGATGGGCAGCTGAGGGGAGGCGATTGGAGGGGCGGGTCACAGCAAGCGCATCAACGAAGTTCAAATCCATTTCTCGATCTTGAACACGAAGGCAGGATGAGATGTTGGACTAAAAGTGGATCCTGTAATTTCTTGACATGATTGATGACTGGCTTAGGCACCCGAGAGCCCTTGCTTGTATCTAGGTGACTAGTATCGCATTTGTGTTGTGTTGGAGGTCCAGAGCGCGTTCTTGAAGGTGTTCAGATATTCTCGTGGAAGTGGCTAAACTGGGCCAGTCGGTAGTCGCCTTCGACGCCATTTCAAAAAATAGATTCCTGCGCAACTTGATGTCTTTATTCCTTTTTGACTACGGGGACGCTCACGCCATTTTGTAAAGTAGTGAATCTTCTATTTTCTCGGGGAAGGAGCAGGCTGGATACAGATTTCTCATAGAGGCAACAACAGCCGCGTCAAGAAAACCAACTGTATGGGGTGACGGTACAGAGGAGAGTTCCCAACCGGAATGCAATTTTGCCCAAGATCTGTTCGCTTTTGATCTATTCTCTTTTACCAGACCCTGAAAGAGAATATGATCGCGCGAATTAGGCGCTTGCCGTTCGAGCGCTTGAGGTATACCTGAAATATTTCAAAGGAACGGAACTATTGCGGAAAATTCTTTGTGCGACACCAGCCAGTTCCTTACCTGGATGCGCCAAAAGACCACGACAATCTTTGACACCAGCCATCATACTGATTATGGATATGTGTTAGCAGAACTTTCTGGGATTAACATAAGGCTGTTGCATACTTACCAGACATTATTATGTATCCCAGCTTTCTCGTGTCCTGCACAACACTTTAGTCACTTCCCAATGTAGCCTTCATCTTCCGACTCCATTCCTCCCGCTTTATCCGTAGGAGGATCAACGGAATGCCACTCAACAGACAGAAGACACAAGCGGCTGTGAAAGACCATCCCGTTCCAATGGCATCGAACAGCGGTTGAGCGATGACCGCACTAACACACGACAGGCTGTTTCGCAGCAGATTGTTCACCGCCACGCCAACGGTCGATTTCTTTGGGGTGAACTCGGTCAGCATGGTCATGGTTACGTTGGTAAGAATCATTCCACCGAAGCCATAGAAGAAATTTCCGATCAGCTATATGGTATCATTGTCAGTCAGAGTTATTCTTGGCACGAAATCTTGCCCAGGGTTTGATTCCGAACTCACCGGCACCAGCCAGAAGACTTGCTTCTCGGCCGTCCATCCCCACCATAAGAGCGCTCCGGGAAACAGAATGCCCGCCATCAAACAATTCTCCCCCAGCCTATCTACTGGATGAAAAATCAACTCTCCTGCCTCGTCATACCGCCCCTCCTTCCGGGCGGTGCGTGCCATAATTGCATCCTGCCAGCGGCCACCGATGATTGCCCCGAACAACAACCCCAAATACCCAGGGATGTAGGCCACCCCGACGATCACAGGGCTCCAGGAGTACGGGGCTACGGCAAAGGTATCCTCGATCGAGACGCAAATGAGGTAATAGGTAGCAAACACTATCGCTGTATAGTAGACCGTGATTAGGATAGGCGGGTACTGGAGGAGCTTGGCGGCCTCTATGGGCTTAAGGAGAAAGTGGATGGCCTTCTTAGCGGGGCTGCTAGCGTTAGCGCGGTGCTCGCGCTGATTTTCTGCAAGGTTTGTGGCTGTTTCTGGTAGACAGAAGACCATCACCATGAAAACCGCCCATCCATAAATGACCATGAACCACTGCGTGCTGCGCCAACCCCAACGCATCGTGAGCGTCCCGCCGATGATTGGGGCAAACATGGGGCCTAGCATGGGCCCGAGCATGAAGGCGCCCATGGCCTTTCCGCGCTCGTGCGGCTCAAACATGTCGGAGATAGTGCCTGCGCTGACGGATTGGAGGGACGCGCTTGAGGCACTGCCGAGAAGGCGCATAGCGATGAACATGCCAATATTGGGGCTGATGGCTGCTAGGATACAGAACAGACCGAGAAAGAAGAAAGACAGCAGATATACGAGACGGCGACCATAGAGTTCAGCAAAGTAAGACCACCAGAGGGGGGTGATGGCGACGGCAAGGGAACCGAAGGCGAAGGACAGGTTGACAACAGATTCGGTGGTATGAAGGTCGGCAGCGATTTCAAGCAAGCAGGCTGTTTAACAACCAACTTGTAAGTATGAAGACTATTTGAAGAGAGTAATAGAGAGAAGGTACATACGGAACAAGACACCGCTGCTCAACGGAACGACTAAACCACCGGCAGCAACGATGAAGGTCAAAAACCACTTTACTCCGGAGCTGTAGGACCGGGGATCCTGTACAGATGGGACCAAACACAACCATGGAAGAAACCCTATGCGCACCCTCCTGGTGGCATTAGGATCAATCTTTTCACGCTCAGCTCCGAGCTCTGTCTCGATGTTAGGTTGGGCAAGTGTGTCGGCAGAGTCCATCCGCTCGTGGTTCGTCTTGGTTTCCATGTTCATGGTTACTGGTACTTCAGGGATGGTGTTGGGCTCGTCAGGCATATTAAACAATGTTCTAAATTGCTTTATTCCGTGAGTTTGTATCGCTTGTATTCCAAGATAGACGAAGGGGACGCTTCCTTTTCTATGAATAATGAGACCGAGTCCTTCATACTCCTAGGATCCACCTCGGCCGAGATGTGGGGCCGCTGCACGCTGTCCTCGTACGAGATGTGGGTCCATGTCAACAGGAGTAGTAGGCCACTGGACATAACATCAATAAGTGCCTCGTACGAGGATATATCCACCATCTAAATGATTGGCAGTAAACAGGGACTATGGGGTGATAAGTCACAAGTTGCGAACACGATACGATCCGAACATTCATGCCGATTATTGAGGATGAGTCAAGCAATGCTTCATTGGAACATCTTCTGTTTATCCTACACAGTCACGTGCTGTGCTGTGCGGTGAGTCGAGAGAGCCCCTTTGACTTGATTCCATCGACTCGAGGTTGCCTCTTCGAGTCTTTTCGTGCCGACCTGAATGGCATCCTTAAGGTCATACTCTTGAATGAGGTAAGTCATAAGTAAGGTGGTATTGACGAGAGGGTCAAATGTAAACAAATAAAGGATAAGCTAGAAAAGTCATGATCATACAGTTAAGTAGCTTCTACCTGTCGTTGTTGATCACATCTTTGTATATACATAATAAGCTTAGAATAAACTGTCGAATAATCCCCTTCATTACACACAAGCCATTAGAGGCTTCCGCTCCATCATAGTGTTCTCGGTGTTAGCTGAATGTTCGCCAAGTACTTGGCGAAAAAACTTGATTCATCCGTTCTATACCGGTCGCCATCCTTGGCTTGACCCTCAAGGTCAATATCGTACTGGCTGAGCAATGCTGCCACAATGCTGCGCACCATCTTGCCGCCGAGATGAGCTCCCAGACACTTGCGCGAGCCATACCCGAAGGTCGACAGGTTATATTTCAGCTCGCGGGGGTGGAGGCCCTCGAAGCGCTCAGGGCGGTAATCTTTAGTATCCGGTCCCCAGTAAGGATTATTTATGTTGATAGAGTAGGCGTCAATGACGACGCTCGTCTATTTGCATGAGATTAGACTTTTGGTCATCAAAAGAGCCATTAGAATCAAAGGGCTAGAGGTGGCCTTACGTTGGCGGGAATGTGGTAGCCTCCTAAGATTTTGTCTTGACTGCAACGGCCTGCGAGGGAGAAAGCTATCGCTCTGTTAGTCTAAGTTTGCAAGGAGATCATATGGGGGTGGCGGAGCTAGAGAAAAGGCAAGACAACGTACCAGGGATTGGCTCCAGACGAATAGACTCTAGGAAGCACCAGTGCAAGAATGTATCCTGACGCTTAATATACTCGGTCAGATTATCCTGGTGCTCGTCGATCTCCATCTGGAGCTTCTTCTGGATGCGCTTGTTCTCCGCGATGTGCAGGACACAGCCCGTAATCACTGAAGTGGTGACGTCCAAGTTCGCGAAGATAGACTCGGTGAAGGTGTGGATGAGTTGGTCTTCCGTTATGTCGCCATTTTCGACATTCGTCCACAGACGGATGATGGGCAACTCGGTCTGGGAGCGCTTCTGATCCACGACCTCGCGGTTGAAGGTGCGCCATCGCTGGTCGAACTGACGGATCAAGACCCATGCTTTGATCGAGTAGAAGTACTTCAGCAGTCGGCTGCGAGTGAGTCCCTGCTCCAATACCCAGTTCGACAACACCAGGAAAGTCTGGTTGATCGCCCAGACTTCCTCCTTCTGGGCTTTGGTAAGTGGCCCAAAGAAGGTCTCCATCTGCGTGAAAAATGGGTACGACTGCACAGCGCGGTAGGCGTTCACTATGATATTCTCCTTACTGGGGGCGAGGGTCTGCGCAGGAACATGCTGTACGTGGTCCATGGCGCGCTGAAAAATGAACGGCGTGAGCTTAGCCGAACTCGAGAAGTTGACGTAGGGGTCCAGCAGCTTGCGCAAGACCTTCCAGTCGTGGCCGTTGATCAGTCCGACCGCGTCGCCCATTGCGTAGTTGAAGAGCGCGCCAGAGGGTGTGAAGGAGAATTTGCTGTGCTCGCCTTTCCCAGAGAACCAAGCCTCGACGTCTTTAGGGTCGGTGATGACACTGGATTGTAACATGGTGGGGTCAATCACTGCAACTCAATCTGGAGCATAAGATGTAATACAACACACATTTCAGGCCAAACGCCGTTCCAAATTCGGTAGATTGAACCGTATTCTGCACGCCATTTGGCGCTCATTTGTGAGGGTGCAATAATTTTTTCTTTGGCCTGGCCTTGCGGTAGGAGATATTCGGGACCGGGCATCTGCATTTTGTCGCCGTTCACGGGTCGAACGGCGGACATTCTAATGTAGATTGACTGCGACCAACGGTTAATGTCAGTCTGCAATCTAGTTCTTTCACAGGTAACACGCATCTCACATTGAGGTACCATGTCAAGATACGGTTGCCGAAGAAACATGCAATTGCCAGCAGTAAAGTACTCCCAATGAGAACCAATCGCGTTGGAGAGATTGCTAGTGGAATGTCGGCGAGGATAGCCATCTTCCAGTGAACGAAAAGACGATTATATTGAGCAGGAGTAAGAGTATTCGAACGGTTCGAGATGTTTTGGATGCGGAGGACAAAGGTTGCCGACATTCTTAAAATACAATTTCATCTGTACAATAGAGAGCAGTTCATCAGCTGTGAGATCGCGGTTCATGGCACAGCTGCCACATGGCTGCTTTGTGGGGGTGGTGGTTGCTGTCGTCGCCGAGCTTATTCTCCGAAAATAGTCAACTTTTTCTTTTTCCTCCCGAGGGGGGAGGTTGTCATTCATTGGTATGATACTGTTTAATGTAGTACTAATACACTGCTTTATTTATGTACGCTATGGACTGATGGCAATACAACAGTTACAGAATATGTAGTCCAGTACCGTAAACACATCATAAACAATACATTGGGGTAATCGGTATACGTAGGGAGGACCCCATCTATTTTTTTAATAATATACTTATTCACCCCTCCTACGATCCAAATCCCAGAAGGTAGATCAGGACCGCCCCAGTGACGTACCGGAGCTCAAAGTGAGCGAAACGAAGATAATTCCTAGGAATACAGCACCAATACAGCGCAATCGACACTGGCAACAGGTTATCTAATCTCTCTTTCACCGCGTAAACCCCGGAACCCCTATCCCATCCATCATGATAAAGTCCGAAAAATTAATTTCGTCAAGGTTGATCAGCCCCATGAGATCTCCTGTATTGAATTCCATACCCGCCGCTCCCATCGTGGGCGGACCATCAACATTCCCAGCCGATCTCATAGTTACGGACTGGTTGTCCGACGGACCACCGGGCCCAGCAGCACCATTCCCAGCGGCAATATGGCTAGCAGATAACCCAGGCCCAGAATTCAAAGCCAGATCCTGCTGGAACCGAATACGGTTCGCCAACCAAATAATTGCAGGCCAGGCGCCCGTAGTATGCTGACCGCGGAGCTCGTAAATGGCATTGGCCAGTTGAAGCCCACGCTGACGAAGGTCCGCCCATTCAGGCGCCTGGAATGCCGGACTGCAGAGCTCGGAGAGCACGTAGAGAATGAGGTAGAAGCCTGCGTGAGAGGTTATGTGCCACTGATATGGCTCGCAGGCCGGGCTCGAGGAGATGGCGCACCAAGTCTCTACGGCGGTCGCAGCGTCGACGAATATGCTGTCGAGAAAGATTTGGTCAGTAAATCTTGTTAGGATCATTCTCCCCTCCCCGTGCTCCTGGAGGAGACAGCTAAGCGTAAGTTTAGGGCTGTGGGAAAATGACGGGAGGCGAAGAAGGTGAGGCTCACTTTCGTCTCATAGCAGGACTGATAATCTTCTCGCGATCCTGTCGGGATATTTGCGTCCAGAACATGACCCAAAACTTAGTCTTGAGATGCTGACTGAGATCCAAGGCCATCGACTGCATCATCACCCTCTTATCACAGTAGCGAATAAGCTCGTCGAGGCCCCTTTCTAAATCACGTGCAAGCCCAGTGGCGGTCTGCAACAGTCCCTGTAGCTCCATCAAGGCCTGGGACTCATCAACAACCGAACTATCCAGCCCGTTACCCAAACGCTTGCGTGATGCATGCGTTATCTGGATGATGCGCCCGTAGTAACCGGCGGCTGTAATGCGCAGAAGGTAGATAGTCATATCGGTGAATTTAGGGGCATCAGAGAGCCCAGACAAGGGGGCCACGCCTTCGATCAAATCTACATCGTCCAGACTGACGGGTCGACGTGTATCAAAGTCCGATGCGTGGATCGATGGCGCGAATCCATGATCTTCTGCCGTCCTGAAATCCAGATGGCAGATCTGCGCCCACAGACGACGGCGCAGCTCCACCTGCACGACGTCGATCGTTCCAAGCGGTAGGGCTAAGGGATCCCTGTGGAGTCCTTGAAGCATTGCAATCCGAATGGCCAGGCCTGTCAATGGCCACACTTTCCCCATGTCGTCTTCTCTGTATTGCGCAGTCTATAGCCATGAATCATGGTTAAAAATTTGCCCTCAACATACTCGTTGGATCTCGTACTAGTAATATCACAAATGCCTGCAGAACCTCAAAGATCCTTGAAGTCATGAATTTCTGGCGCTTTAGAAGTAACTCTGTTCCCATCCGATATCGTTTGAGGAGAGTGGCTTTGTCCATGCCGAACATGGTGGCAACGTCTGTATCCTTTATACTATTGACAGCTGCATAGAAGATAGACATGACCAGTGGCTTGAACGCATCGATCTTTTTCAGAGTACTACTCGTACCGCCGTGGCTGCCACCCCCTTGTGTTGGTGTATAGTCTCGACTGTCGGGATATTGAGAACGAACAAAGGCGTCAAAGCGACGGGCCAAGCTCGGCCGGTGTATAATGCGAACTATCGGGTCAACATTTGCCAGGTACACATTCAGCAGCAGGTAACAATCTTCCCGGGTATCAGGCCAGAAGTTGTTGCCGGTGCTGCTGAATGATGCCCTTGCAGGCGAATCTGCATCCCAAATGACATCGTCAAGTGTTCCGTCGGGTGGAGAAGATTTTTGAGATTCTGTAAGAACTGATTGGATGTCTTGAAGCTAAAAAGAAGGCAAAGCGAATGGCAAGGCCGTGTTAGCATTTCTTGGGTTTTCCCTGTCCTGCTATTTGCGCGAATCGCATGTTGTGGAGCGCACCTCTGCTGCCATCCAAGCCCAGTGTTTGCCGGAAACAAAGTGGGGAACTCCATTATCAAGGATGAGGGCATCTTCCTCCGATCGCGGATTGTGGGGAGGGGCGGAAGTGTTGGCTGCTGGTGTCGGTTGTGTTGTCGCTGTAGGTGTGAATGAGTCCGGAGACGACGAGGAGGGACTGTGTGATGAGGATGCCTCATATGCCTTCGCTTGCGCCATAAAATTTGCCAGTCGCTGCAGACCAGGGTTGATTCTAGCCAGCGTTGACGAAGACAGCTTAGAGCCACTATTGTTGCTGGGTTTGGTTATGCGGTTCGACTCTAGGGGCGAAGCCGGTGACTGCGGCTTCGATACATACGAGCAGACATGACCGCCTCGCTCACACACTAAACATTGTGGTTGGCGACGGTCGCATTTGACTTTGCGATGACGGCAGGGTAAGCATGAGGTAATAGGGCGAGACAAACCACTCGGGGATGGGGATGGGATGGATTCGTTTGGAGATGAGTGCGTGTCTGAGGGGTGATGAAAAGAGGGAGTATCGCTGTTCATAGTGAAGGTCTTGGAATTGGTAGTTGGGGAGGGGTCCTTGTTTGACTTGAATGGTGTGTTGAGAGATGAGCAGTCAAAAGCCATAGCGCGCACTTGCTTATCTCCAAGCGATCCTAATGCTGTTTGATTCGAGCCGGCCGATCTCCCGATTTCCCTGACAGTTCTTTGCGGAAGATTAGCTCGGCTTATTTGAAACTCAATAATTAGCCATTCCAGGGGACGCTGAGGCAGCACATGGCCCCACTTCCACCTTAGATGTAATCCGGTTGACCTCGGTGATTTTGTTGGCATAGCGGGGAGGTAGGTGCAGGGATTCAAATCCTTAAAGCAGTGAGACTCAGCCTTCTACGCACAGCCGTTCGTGCGAGCTGCGACTGGCTAGATCATGCACTACAGTATATCACTAAGTTGCTCAGAGAGTTTGACCCCTGACAGATTCAACCATTGTGGTCTTATTATGGTCAGTGATAGGATTTGAACCGTAAGCCGGTTTGATAACCCAATCAATACCACTTTCTTTTTTTTCTTTTGATTTAGTCACGCATCCCTATCGCAGCCCAGGAATGACTCGGATCGCAAGAATTTATGTGATAATGGTTCGGGAAGATAGGTAGTAAGGAGTTTTCAGACTGTTATGCAATGGCTTAGAGGGCTGGATTCCTCCGCTGGTCAAAGAACCCCCACTCAGCTTTGGACCCATGAGCGTTCCCTACTAGCGCCTTTCATAGTAGCGTATTTGCGAGCCGCTTTTCCACAGCGGCGCCCCATTGGTTGGGACTCATTGATTCAAGGATTCGAATCCAACCACTTACCATTCTAGCTAATCACCGTGGTAAATTGAAGCATGCTAAACATTACTAGAAGTTGGAGATTATGTTAGGCATGTGGACGCGTCATTTCTTGCTCCACTGTAGGAGTGCTCCTAGGCGGCCGAACTTGGGTCATACGACGCTCGGATCACATAACCTGGGGCCAAAGCCTCATCTTCCTGTAAGCACTAAGCTAGCTTCCTCCAAACTATGAGGCCAATTGATTTCAAGACAAATAACACTTTTCGTACTCTCGTGCGAAGCGGTTCAGATGGCGTCCGAGATCAATACACCACGCTCGGCCGATGTTCATAGTAAGGTAGACACCTTTGCTGAGAGCAAAACGTTCAAGGGATCTAGGGAATAAATGTTGGGGTACTCTAGGGTTACAAAAACAGATCGGATATAACATTGGGTCTTCCACATTGTACGTAGAACAATATAATCACTGCACAAGGTCCAGGATATATCAGAAAAGAGAGGCATCCACATACTTCTATATTTATCTTCTGTTTGAGATTGTAGTTCTATTGATGATGACGTCTCCCCTTCATACCAGTCTTGATTCCCCACGTCCAAGAAATCGCTTGCGCAAGGCTTGTGACTTCTGTCACCAGTCAAAGGTGAGTTTACTGTGGATAGTGTATTGATATGGGCATCACTGACAGTATTACCTCTCTCTAGGTCAAATGTACTGGCGATAGTCCATGTGTGCGATGTATAGAGCTGGATATCCCCTGCCGATATGAATTTGTCATTCGAACGGCTAAGCCCAAAGGGTCCCGCAATCGGAAGGCCCTGGAGAAGGCAGAGAGATTGAGACAAGAAGCGACGATGAGCACCAAGCATCTTTGCTTTGCATCACAAGGCCAGAATTCAAGTAGCAGTGCCAGTTGCAACTCTAGCACGAGCCGTGCCACAGGCGACGGAGAAATGAATAGAAGGGAGATGAATCCTGGTGATGAGATACTGTTGCCATTAAATTGGTACAGCAATTGGATGACGCTCTCCGAAGGCTATGTGGCTCAACATCCGAGCGAAGCCTATCTGCAACACGAAGTAACGGGTCTGTGGAGACCAAACGAGGAAGAGGCTCTCCAACTCATTCCTTCCAACAGCGCAGCTCTCCCGTTCATCGCCGACTCTCTGTCACCGCTCTACACAAAAGTAACAGAACCTATATCCTCCGAGACACCCCCTCTCAACACATCGAACAGTGCTTCTCATTCATGCACGTGTGTAAGCTATCTCCTCGACAGCAAGTCTCGGCTTTGCAGCTTGACATTGGACCCTGTCGAGCGGGGTCGCTTTGATCTTGGGATGCAAGCCGTTAACAGGATCTGGGCCTCGATTCGGGCCATCATGCAATGCGAGAGCCACGAGCACCATCCCCAACTATTTTTCCTGATGTCCTGGTGCATCCGAATAGCATGTGGCTGGTTCCAGTCGCAAGCATTCCTAAAACACCAACACGAAGGTCCACTACTATGCTCACAGCCCGTACTTGATATGCGTTGCGGTGAGTATGAGATACCGTACCAGCAAGTCCACGTGATACATGGCCTTATGGTTCACATGGCGGTCCAAGAGGGGACCGATCTTCTGAGGGGACTGCGCCGCATACTGGAGAAGGAGGAAACACCTTTGTCCAACCTGCCAGTCAGTGTGATATCACTTAACCCGGTGGATGTCACATATATCCTAGCAGTACTGGCACAGTGTGAAGAAGAGATGCTCAGGATTCTGCATGTCGGAAGGCAGTTGCTGACCACTGATGTCGACGATTGATTCGCCAACGAGAAAACTGACTTCCTGTCTATAAGATACCTTGGAAGCCGTTTTGGCCATTTGTAAATAATGCGAAACCACTATGCCATGGATGAAGTTTGGATTTTTAGATCACTGATGTATATACCTGGATCAAACCACGTGCCCTGTTGCCCAATTCCACTGACATTGTACATAGTATACCGCTAACTTCACTGCATTTGTAAAGTTTCTACTAACGCAATTTCAGATATCTTTATCTATACCCTGCTCTACAGTCTAAATCTGTAAGCCGAGAGTGCGAAGCAACCCGCGGGGGCGCGTACATAGGTAAGACATATTTTAGAAAGGTTTTCTACGGATATAGAGAATGAAGACAGTTACATCATAATATATGGAAGGGTGATGGCCGATCACATCAGTTGGATGAGCTGATCAACATCATAATAACATTATATGTCAGTTCTTTCACTACAATATATATACATGTTGAAACAACTCTATACTATTTGCATATGCTGAAGTGTTTATATTGTAGCCTTTAAACCCGTCCAACGGGCAAATTGCTATTTGGCTTAGGGAACCGGAAGAAAGGAAGGGGGCGCGCGATAACACTGCCATGAATGGAGCGATCAATTATCAATCATCTATAGCCAGATAAGACAGCTAAGCACTAGAATGAAGACCAGAAAGAGGACCCAGCCCAGGTTGACGCCCAACGAAGCATCCTGGCTAAGTTTGTGCAAAAAGTTGGCGCTGGCCTGCCGGTTAGCAGGATCCCGTTCAGTACCGGCGAGGTCACGAATGGGCTCAAAACCGAAGCGAACTGTTGCTTTGCTGTCATGAAAATTCACACTGATCTCAAGGGGAGTGAAGTCGTCGGTCATGAATGAGTGCCAGTGGGGCTGACCGTTTGGCTTGGGACGGGGACCCAGCCCAGGGATTATATATCGATAGACGAAGATCAGGTGCTAGTATTGATGGGCCAGGTTGTAATTTGACTTGATCATGAGCTCCTGGATTGTGGGAGCCACCACATTCCACCAGAAGTGCTGATCTTCATTTGGGAATGGCAGAGCGCTCGTGAGAATCCGACATGGTGTGTTGTCATGTACAGCGTGAATTTACCGATTGATATAGTGGCCTTGGAATCAGGAGCTCTGATGCTTGTCGGAGTTAAAAGTGTGGACGTCTGGGAGGTAACGGACACCATTTCAATCGATTGATGATACGATGTCGTTATCGATGGGTAGATTCAAAGCTTGTGACTTGATTCTGATATGGTTTGTTTCCCTGCTGTACTTATGGATGCGCCTTTGCCCCATCTTGAATTTTTGCTCCAACACCGAGATCTTACTGCCATTCGGGCCCTAGTCTCGGAGGTGGTAAACGCTGTTGAGAATGCCGAAAATACACCCCGACTACCCGGCCACAGCTAAATTGTACCCGGGCTTGATGACAACAACCTGTGTCTCCAGACGAACCATACGGAGCTTGCCTAGCTTCTCCGAAGCTTGGCCACATAGCATCCTGGCCACATGGCACTGAGGTGCTCTGTGGGGCTGAGAGCCTGGGCTACACTCCCCGAGAAAAACCCGCCGTGATTTCGCGCCGATCCGATACGAATCTCAGAATAACTGCGCCTAAAATCTTATACTCACCCGTTTGTATTTGTCTCCGCGAAAGGCTCAGTCGTGTTGCTCATAAAGTACCCCCGGAGAACGTGTATGAGACTTTGAACTTCTAGTGCCCTAAATTGTCCGAGCACAATGTTGAACAAAGAGGAAATCGACCTTGTATCGCTCTTCAGAGGCTATGCTTCTCTACACCCAGAAACCATCGCTATTGAAGATTGTACGAATTTCCTCACAGACCCACCTAGAATGACATATGGAGAGTTGGACGAATGCTCGAGCATCTTTGCTCAAGAGTTGAAGCAGAATGGGGTTCGACCTGGACATGCCATTCCTTTATTGTCCCAACGCAGTCCTGAGGCAATTGTCGCCATTTTAGCCATCCTGAAATGTGAAGCCTGCTATGTACCTATGGACGCAGAATCCTGGGCACATGATCGAACCCAGTTGACACTACAACAAATACAACCACATATTATCATCTCGACAAATTCAGCGCAATCCAACTTTCAACTCACGCCCTGGAAGGTACTGGAAATGTCATCGTGGAAGGCAATGTTAGACTCCAGCTTCATAATTAAGCACCAGAGCAATATCTGGCAGGCTATTGCCCCACCAGTATTAAGTCTAGATCGGTTGGCGTACATAATTTTTTACCTCCGGCACAACAGGCATGCCGAAGGGGGTGATGGTGTCAATGCGATCGATCACGGCGTATTGCAGGGAATGTGATCCGAACCTTCCTTTCAATCTCAGTTTTAACACCAATTCCCGAGTCTTATGCGTGGTATCGATTGCGTTTGACGGTGAGTGATCCTTTCTATTGAACATGCATTGGGCCGACTTCCATACTGTATCATCCGGCTAGCATGCATTGGGAACATCTTCAGTACTATGACCAGCGGCGGCACATTGATTTTGGCCAATCCGGCAACCTTCGCAGCGTCTGCCAAACAATGCACCGTTCTTCCCCTCACACCTAGCATTTTATCCACTTTGGATCCAGAAGGGCTGGATAACATTAGAGCCATCTATCTGGGCGGCGAATCTCCTTCACCTTCGTTGATCCAAGCCTGGTCTCGACCATGGCGTCGCATATTCAACGTTACGGCCCTACTGAGGCCACTTGCGCTATTTTGCTGGGTGAGCTGTTCCCGGGAGGTCCAATTACCGTCGGCTGGCCAATTTGGTACAGTAAGATTATCCTGGTCAATCCCGACGGAGAGTGTACAGATGAGGAGGGCGAGATATATGTGGGAGGTGCAGGTCTTGCTCTCGGATATTATGGCAATGACGAAGCGACAAACAAAAGCTTCGTCATGCACAATGGAGAACGATATTACCGAACTGGAGATCTGGCACGTTTGACCTGCGATGGATACGTCTTTAGGGGACGGATGGACAGTATGGTCAAAAACTGTGGTTTTCTGATTAACCTGGAGGCCGAGGTAGAACCCGCAATTCTTAGCATCCCCTAAACTACTGGCGCAGTGGCAATGAAGATCGAGAACTCCCTGGTTGCCTTCATTACACCAAGGGTTGATATAAGCACTGTGAGACAGTACCTCAGCGCGAACCTTTCGACATTCCTCGTACCAGACACCATCTATGCGTTGGACGAATTTCCCCAAACTACCAACGGCAAGTGTGATCGCAAGTCCCTGCTGTCACTTCATCAAGCAGAGGCGAAGAAATTAATCTCCGAGACGACGATGTCATCTTCAAACGGTCATCTAACCCCCGTATCTTTACATGGTGACTCAGCAATCTCGGCGGTCCGGTTATTGTCACAAAAGATTAGCGCTGCCCAGGCTCGAACTACAACGCAGGTAAGTGACGTCATGCTAATAATCTGCAGGCCCGTGATATTCGAACACAATGTAAAGTGGCAAACAGGCACGTCGGCGGGATCACCCGGAAAACGCTGGAGAGTTCTTGTAACCAACGAAAATCGTAGGTAAGCCGTAGCCATTTCGGTCCTTTCTATAAAGAGACCAGAATATGAGATATAGGGGTATCTAGGATAGGCTTATAACAAAGTAGTCTTGCCACATCTTCATGTAGGTTGCTTTCATTATTCTGCATTTGCCTTGACCACCTCTTCAGAGACCAATACCTATTCTGATCATATTTGTGTCACTGATGGCTATCCGCTCTCTACCGCGCGGTTGTTCAACCGGTGGTCAAAAGGATTCGGACATTGACGTATCTTTATCCGATTAGCTAGCTAGCGACCTCTACCTCAAACTGCGAGCGTGGAGCATGAATTCGAATTTCGATGTCAGTTGCCTTCGCTTTGATTGCAATAACAGTCTCATGTGGTGTCAAGCCGACCAAGCGACCAACGTCACGATGTTTGACTGAGGAGCTGAGATCGTCGATACGATAAAGAGCGACAATCTGGCCTTCTCGAAGCCTTGTGGGATCATCCATTACAGTCCCTGCCATCTCAGCGAATTCAGATTCCAGTATCAACTTTGTCGCTTCAGGTCCTGTTAGTTGGGTTATTGCTGCTCCTTGCTTTTGCGATGCCGCGATCGCATGTCTGTATCTGTCAAGCCATCTCCAAGTAAATGGGTAGGCACTAGCGGAAATCAATTCATTTATCTGAACTCCCGGCATATTGAATATCCAATCAAACAAGAATGCAGCTAGCAAATGATCAGTGAACATGATCTTGTGAAAGTTATTTGTGTTGGGACTTCTATCTTACCGTGAATATCGATCAATCCGGGCTTCTTACTATCAAGCAACCACTGCCTTCCATCTCCGAGAAGATTTTCAAGAATAGCAAAATGCCCCCTTATCTCCACTAAAGATTTAGACAGGCCTTTCTCTAAAGCGTCTGGGCTAAAGTCCATGCCCCATAGCTCTTTTCTATCGGCGAGGAACTTTGAGTCTGTCAAGAAAGGCAAGCTTTTCGGTAGTATATACATAACCGAGTTCAGAAGGGATCCTTCTGCCCACTTTTCCATGAGCTTTTCGAGTGTCATCGCCGATGGTTCCTTCGCGCCTAGTGGTTGGTGCGGGTACAATGCCTCCAATTTCTCAAAGATAAGTGACGAGTCATAGTAGATGTCCTTGCCGATTGCTATGAACGGAATGCGGCGATATTGAATACCAAGGAGTTGGAGGTCTGGCCGAGGCCAAGTCATGGGTTGGCAACATTCTGAATACTCAATCCCGCGAAGGCTAAGGTAACTAATCACCTTAGCTCCCCATGGAGAGCCAGGATAAGAGAACAGCACGATTCTGGGCATTTTGTTGCTTGTGTTATTAGAAAACCTACCCGTTGCTCAACGAGCTTAAATAGCGTGGTCTGATAATACGGTCACATAAGCAGTCCATTTTCTCTCATAGTTCGGAAGCTCTTCTCCGGTAAGTTTTACTGTATCAAATACCGGATGACGGAAGAGTACAGCTTCAAGGCCTGGACACAGTTTGGATTCACTAATAAGTGGGGGCCTGTTGGAGTACACCTTTGTACCAAAAATTGGATCTTCCACATCTTTTTCGGTTAACCAATAATATCAGCAGCCGAGAAAACCACATAACCAAGCTAGCGGGAATTCTGCCAACATCCAGAAATCTTACTTATTCCGATCCTAGGGTGTGACAATGCAATAAAGGTTTGGGTATAGGTAACTATACTGGCTTAGGAAGGCATCTTTTATATGGCATTACAGAATGGGCCGCCAGACGGGTCGCAGCTCATCATGGTCTGAAAAAAGGTGAGCGTGGTCTAATATTCTGCCAGTCATCTCACTGCTTTCTTCAGACATGCTGAGCTGTTCTTAGCAAAAGCTTATCATGGTCAAGAATCTTAGTTTTAAACCATGATGAGCCTATCAGAATTTTTAAGATATTTAAGGATTTTAGGGTATTTAGGGTATTTATTAATATACTTTATTAGAGAATCTTTTTTTTTTAATATTCTTAAGCTTAGTTTTAATATGTGCATCATTTTAGTATACTGAAAATATATGTCTTTTATGAAAATCAAAGTTCTCATCATGGTTAAGATAGAAAAGGATTATTCCATATTTAGTATTAGACCACGCGGAGTTTATTTCAGACCACGCCGAGCTGTAAGCCCGGCTGCCGGATCATGTAGCCACGCGACCGTGAGTTACGTAACGTTAACTAGGTTAACCTGGATAACTAATATCTCACTAGACCTTTTTCAGCATGAAAGAACGGCTTAACGCTTGAGTCAAGTTCTTTCAAGCTCACAATTTCAAGCTGTTTGTAGGGAAGCGGCAGGTGAGTGTATAACTCATTAAAGGATTGACAAAACTAATAGGGTCAACTTGTTAAAGAAGAAAAAGAAAGAATAAAGATAACAATCGCGTGAGGATCTGCTATGATAGCCCGGCAACCAGTTACCTCGCCCGGAAGCCCCGGCCAAATATTACTGCAAAGTATCTTGAGAAACACCTCTGTAATCATTCAGGATAACAAGATACTTCCCCACTTCACCGATTTTCACTTATACGACCGGAGTACGAACAAGAGTATTTTATTCGAGAAGCATTACAATAGCAATAACAAGTGGTCTGTGACAATATCTTTAAAGGTCGATAACAATGCTTTCGTTCCTGGATTTTGTCTTTGCTAATGTAAGCAACCAGAGCCATCTCAGGAACCTATTGACCTACACACCAATTTCTTTCAAACATACATTGTGACTATATGTGTATGGATGCTCAAGTTCCCTTTATAAATTTAGCTATCGTACTGAAATCCAATTTTATACTACCAGATACGTCACAGTACACTGCTTAGTAATTTTACAAACCGGCTTAGTCCGGATAGATAGGACCACAGCCAGACACCCGCTATGGTTCTATGTACGAGCATGAATGCATAACAACGTTTAGATAGTCAAATTGTGAACATTTTAAGGTTATAAAACCTACTAGACAAGCAACAGAACCTTGGGAGAATTATCTTCAGTCTCTCATGTCACAACCAGATACTAAAGACTAAAACCGCCCTATAATATCAACTCCCACCAATATGTCCGCCCAGAGGGACCAGGAAATTCTCATTACCGGAGCTTCTGGTTTCGTCGCGACGCATGTTATCAAATCTTTTCTTGAGCATGGCTATCGAGTCCGTGGCACAGTCCGATCTGAGCAGTCAGCTGCCAATGTGCGCGGCATCTTTTCTCAATATTCTGATCGGTTGTCCTTCGCTATTGTTAAGGATATAGCGCAGCCTGGAGCTTTTGAAGAGGCAGTAAAGGAAGTAGACGGGGTAGGTTATATTCTCATCTCCGTAAGAATATCGAACTGATAGATCCTTGGTAGATCATTCATACCGCCTCTCCTGTTAAGTCTGTGGTTGAGGACCAGGAAAAGGACCTTCTCCAGCCTGCAATTCGTGGGACCCTTGAAATTCTTCAAGCTGCGCAGGCGCATTCACGCATCACTCGAGTAGTGATTACTTCGTCCTTTGCCGCTATGGCCAACCTGTATAAAGGACTATGGCCTGAGCACACATACACCGAGGCCGATTGGAATCCCGAAACGTACGAAAACGCTAGGACAGCCGATGGTGTGAGCGCATATTGCGCTTCTAAAGCGTTCGCTGAGAAGGCTGCCTGGGATTTCATGGAAAAAGAGAAGCCCCATTTCAGCTTAGCAACTATTTGCCCGCCTATGATTTACGGCCCAGTCGAGCAGTGCGTTCAAGATATGAGCAAGTTGAACACCAGCGCTGCTGATATCTACCGGCTGATGAATGGTAGTATAACTGAAGTGCCAGTAATGGGGTTTCCTGCTTGGGCCGATGTCCGTGATGTCGCCGATGCTCACCTTCGAGCATTTCAGATCAATGAAGCTATGAATGAACGGTTCTTCATTACTTCAGGTAACTACAACTACCAGGAAGTGTGCGAAATCTTGCGCGCAAGCTTTCCTCAGATTAAGGATAAAGTTCCACATAGTCAGATCGGACAAACCCAACCAGCCGTTTACAAAGTTTCTAATCAGAAGGCTCAATCAGTGCTTGGGATGCAATTCCGGTCATTGGAGAGCAGTATTAAGGATACTGCCGAAAGCTTACTTACACTGAAAAAGAAGCTGGAGAATTGAGAATCTTATACGGTAGTGAAGGGACAACAGAAAGGAGTCCAAAGGTGGACGGGTCAGTTTTGGACCTGACCCGACCCGTCTACTTACAAGTTATAGTACGATACTTATTTGTGCTCGAAATAATCGTTGATTGGAAATCTGATCGCAGTTTCATCTGCTCGAACTTGCTGGCTGGCCAAGAATATTTCCTAGCAACCTTCTCGGATTCGTGCTTTAGAGACTTCTCCCAGTAGGCGCTGGGAGCGAAGACCGGATTCTGTTCAGTATCGTTCACCTCCACTCGCTTGTTCATGGCTATCTTTCATTCTTTTAAGTAATGAATACAAATAGATGGCTGTTTATTGTACGCTTTGTTAGTCTCACATACGCCACGCCGCTTGCGGCTGTGTTACGGGGTAGCGATTGAAGCACACCTTAGTACGATTCACTCTTTTCGTAGCATGTTGCCGCTCAGTTATACTCCCGGGTCGTTTTTGGCAGGAACATGCTGCGCGGTGTTATGATTCAATTAATATAATAACTGAAGAGCTACCACTAAGAACTAGATATAATTTTATAAATAGAAAATAAGATTAAATAGAGAACTGGCACTCTTGAATATAGAATAATTTATTACTATCTTAAATAAGAAGATAAAAATATTTTCTTTACATTTAATTATTTTTAGTATTTTATATTCTACGATCTTACTTATATAGAGATGTATTACTTTATCTAGACTTACTGCAGCTGGATCCATCATGCTGCCTTTCAAAAAGAAGATATAATATAACAGTTAGCTGGAATACCTGCTGAGCTTATAGTTGTAATCAGAAGTATAATCCCAAAGAGTTCTCCAGTGGGCACTTCAAGAGTCTATGAGCTGCTTTCCGGATCTCTGTGCCGTATCCACCGATTCAAGGTCCTTGTCCTACCGAGAACTGAGCTGTTTCTTGGGTGTCGTGTCTTCGCAGATCAATGAACTTACCCAGCGGGGAGACGTTATTTGCGTCATCAGTGACGGTACCATCGAATGGCTCGTGGCAATACTGGCGGTTATCCAATCCGGCTGCACATACTGTCCAGTTGACGTGAAGCTTCCTCGGGCGCGGCAGCATTGCATGATCGAATCTGCCTCCGCCAAGGTGGTTCTGTTCCCACGAGCCAACATGCGGACAGGATATGGCTTCCTTGGGGATGTCAAGGCGTTGGATGTGAGTAGTTTACTCACCAACACGGCCGTACAGCGGAACCGATATTACCGTAAAGTCCAGGATAACGACATCGCGGCGATCGTCTTCACTTCAGGAAAGCAAGGGCGTCCCCAAAGCGGTGCAGCTGGCCCACAAGGGCATCATGTCCCTGCTCTCCTGTCCGGAGGGCCGGCTGTACTCTAAGCCTGGGTGGCGCATCGCGCAGACACTGTCGCTAGGGTTCGACTGTTGCGTGCTGGAAGTCCTCTCTGCCACCTGCTTTGGCGGAACACTGGTCTTAAAGGATGTCAATGACCCACTCGCTCATCTGAATAAGGTCGATGCGATGGTTTCAACACCTTCTCTTCTGGCGACGCTAGATCCTGAAGATTATAGAAACTTGCAGGTAGTTTATCTGCTGGGAGAGGCACTCCACCAAAACCTGCTCGATAAATGGCGTCCGGGTAGAGTGGTCCACAACTGCTATGGCCCGGCTGAATGTACTTTATTCGCCACTTTCAAGTGCTTCGACGATGCAGCGCACGAGCAAGTAAGCATTGGCAGGCCTACGCCCCGGACCCGCATCTACATGCTTGACAAGAAGCAACGGCCTGTGCCAGTCGGAGTCAAAGGTGAGATCTACATCTCCGGAATTCAAGTTACTCCTGGATATCGCAACAATGCTGTTCAAACTGCATCCGCGTTCTTACCTGATCTCCATGTTGGTGGATCTCAGAAGATGTTTAGGACTGGCGACATGGGCCATCTGATGCGTGATGGAAATATTGAGTACATTGGAAGAGAAGACGACCTGTTCAAAATCCGGGGATTTCGGGTTGACCTGGGAGATATCGAAGCCTCAATTCTGGCCCTCGCTCCCGATTTGGACAACATTGCGGTCGTCGTGGCCGCTTCGGCCGATAATCTCATCAAAACTGCCATGCTAGATCAGGCTTTCAGGGAATTTGTTCAGGAGCGTGAAGTCTTCCTCTCGCGCTACAAGCAAGTCAAGTCCAGGGCAAATTTTTTAGAAACCTCATCTACACACCGTCTCCCCTCCTCCACTTTGCCAAACACTGAGCTGTCTATTGACGAGTTTCTGCATGCTGCCCGAAACTATCGGTCTGATCTGGCCAATGAACAGCCCGTTCAAGCCCTTCTGTATCAACATTCCCTAACAGAATCCACTCTCGTGATCCTGATGTCCCACCTAGTCGGCGACGCCATCACGATGAACGTGTTCCTCAATAGTCTCGCCGTCCGCTTCCAAGCCTTGTCAAGACGAGTCCACACCGACCCAGGCTGCCTTTCCGCTGGCCGACAGACACACACCTACATAGACTGGACCGTATGGTCTGCCACCCAGGAATACCTCTCAGCTGAGGTCTTATCTTTCTGGAAGACCTACCTCGACCATCCGCCTCTCCAAACCGGCTTGAACTAGTCCCATCGACCAAGATCCTACACCGGCGGGACCAAGTCTTGGACCCTTCCGTCCTCCCTCTCCAACTCCCTCCAACACCTCTGCGCCGATATATCGTTGAGCCCGCATCAACTCATGCTCGCCGCTGTTACGCTTGCCACGCAAGCCCTCCGACCCAGTCAGGACATCGTTATGATGGCCCCGTACTCCCTCCGCACTGAGCCTCTCACCGAGGAGCTCGCCGGCTGTCTGCTGGACCGCGTGCCCATTCGCGTGAAATGGGACCGACAACAATCGTTACTCGAGCTTCTGCGAGCGGTCCAACAGTCCTCGCAGACGGCGATCGCACACGCCGTTCCCTACGCGTCGCTGTGCAAGGCCCTGCAACTTCCCCCGTCCCTCACAAATTCCCTGGCAGAGATCATGGTCACCTTTCACCCTGCCAGCAGCGACGAGACCCGACGCTCCTTTGGCCAGCCATTCAACCTTCGTCCGTCCGGCGCAAAATTTCCCGTCCTGTTCGAATTTTTCCAACAGTCCCCGGATGAAACAATCACCGTCTTTTTCGAGCACGACGACGCGCTACTCAGTGGCGATGACAGTGAGGCCCTGATGTCCGCATTCCAGCTGGTCTTGCAGCTCATCGCCCAACACCAAACGGTCCACGAAATTGTGGATTCGGTGTGCCGTGAGGCGCGTATACTTACCAAACACCTCAATGGGCCTGTGGAAAGTCATTTTTAGAGCCCTGTAATAATGAGTCTGATATGGAAACTATACGGGAGGCGTTCGCGACATGCCTGGGTGTGACGGTGGGAGATGTGAGCTCGGATGTTTCGCTTTTTGATGACCTGGGTGGACCTTCGTCTGATGCGGTCCGACTTGTGTGGTTATTGAAGGAGAAAGGCGTCTTTGGGGTGGATTTGCGGAAGGTGTTGTTGGCGAGGACGCCCGCAGCGCTTGCGAGGCTAGCCAAGTTTAATGAATAGGTCGTGGTGTACCAATGGATATCTTCTCGGCAGCCCCAGCCCCTTGCCATTCTGCGTGGCATAGATGCCAAACTGACTCGGACTATGATTCTATTCCACTAGCGATTGGAATTATCAGTAGAAATATAGGACTCTTAGTCATGCATGCTTCCAAACAACAGTCACTGGACTTCTGGACCCCTGTCTCTAGAACATAGTTTGGCATATTGCGAAAGCTATAAGGAACGAATAGTCCCACAGGTAGTATGATACATAGCCTAAGTGATAAGCATACAGTCTCCAAACATATCGAACTCATAATTGCCCTTCTCCTGAATCTCTTTATAGCTCCTCATAACAAACTCCGTTCCTGCGAACGCAGCCGTAAGTACAATATGACTAGACCGCGGGAGATGCAAATTGGTAAGCAGCACATCAACAGCATTGAACTCGAATCCCGGATAGATATAGAGATCCGTCCATCCATGCTGGGGCTTGATGGCACCCTGGCGGCCGGTCTCACGGGTAATGGTCTCCAGCGTACGCATAACGGTCGTGCCAACAGCAATAACGCGACGGCCTTCACCCCTTGCTCGATTCAGCTGTGCCGAGGTCCTGTCACTGACCTCATAATACTCCGATCGCACCTTGTGCTTCTCAATCTCCTCGACACTAATATGACGAACAGAGAGGATCTCAGTCGCCCCCACATGCAAAGTGATATAGGCGATTTCCACACCCTTGGCGGAGATCTCAGCGAGGAGCTCATGAGAGAAGTGCACTCCGGCGGAGGGTATCTCCAAAGAGCCGGGCTTCTTAGCGTACACAGAGCGGTAAGCATCGGGCTTTTCCTTCCAGTATGTGGGGTTCAAATGGATATTCTCGTCGAGCCGTGCTCCGTATTGGTCGAGAGTTGGGAGGAGGAGGTCAGCGGGACTGAACTGGACCTTCCACAGCTTATCGGGCTGCTGGTCAAGGAGAGTGCATTTGAGCTTCTCTTCGTCCAGGGAGGTGAGGGTTTGCCCTCGTTTGAAGGTGACCTCGGGCTTTTTAAGCTCGACGATGGTGGTGCCGTCTGGCTCGTGGCCGTAGACGGTTAGTTGGAGGGTTTCGTTGTTGCCGTACTCGAACCACAGGGTGTTTGACAGCATGTAGCTGTCGTTTAGCACGAGAAGGTCTCCGGGGCGGAAGTAGTCTCCAATGCTGGAGAATATAGCATGATCGATCTTGGAGCTTTCACGATCCAAGACAATCATCCTTCCGCTATCGCGGGTTTTACCTCGGAGCTCGACGGGGTCATGGGGCATGATCTTGTAGTCAAGGTCGAATTCAAATTCGGTAGTCTTCATAGTGAGTAGAAAAATAATATAGATATATCTGAAGCAATCCCGAAAAATGTGGTTCGAATATCTGATGACCTGAAGAAGTAGCAGCACGGCTAGGAAGACGTTTAGATCCTTTTATCTTCCAATCAAGTCCCATCGTAAATGTGTAGAGCAGCTATGTGTGCGACATTACTCGCACATCGAAGCTTGAGGTCATGTAACTGTGAATTCCTCGTAAGAGATGGATAGATAATGCCTCGCTATGCAACATTACTCATACATGTCACAGTGGAACACGTGCACAAGATGATTGTATGTGGCCCTTAGTCTCCTTTTGCGTCCAATAGTGCTAAAGAGAGCTAGCGATGCAACATCGCCAATGAAGCTGTAGCCACATTGGCCACTTTTGTCAGCATCAGAGATTCATCGCAGAACAACAGTGTGAGGAGTTCTGAGCCAAATCCATCAGTTATTGCCCCATGCATCAGGATCCCCAGAGCGATAAATGCTTAGTATAACTCTGCCATGTAAGTGGAGCATGGGATTGGTCTGAGTGAAACCGCCGTAGTATCTTCCTTGATAATACTCATCCACGGGCGGCACACTGTAGTCCGAAACCAGACACGTCGTGGGTGATGATGGAATTGCACCAGAACTACATTTGGAGAGAATGAGTTTTCTGATGCCGGTTGACTATACCCTAGACAATCACTCCCCAAATCATTCGTGCTGCCTGCAATGCGTCCTGGGGTAAGCAATTGTAGCTCGAGTTGAAGGATTTGTTTGAACTATGTCAACATGTCATACCCCGTATACATAATATCCGTGGTTGAAAACGGGAACTAACCACGTGCGGGTATCATGTATGTCGCACTGGCGAATAATAAATGTCCGCGGAGAATTTCCAGAATGCGAACCATGAATCATCTCGGCAATGTCACTGGAATCTTAGACACCCCTCCTTGATCCCCACAGCTAGTCTCTTCAATTGGTGCCTCTGGTGGCTCAATCATCCTAAGGTGGGGGAATCCGGAATAGTATTCTAAAGTTGAATTTGACTGTACCGGGCTAGAATACTGTTCTGTAATTTCTATGGGCAGCCATGGCCGTGACAAGCACAGTGATGAGGCGCACATCCCGGTATGCTACTGTAACATCCATAGATGAGAGCTGAACATTGACATAACAGAGGCGATGCCAATCCACATACAACATGTTACATGTCCATCTCAGACATCGGGTTACTTTCGTCTCACGCAGGGTTTCATTATAGCTATAGAAAGCATCAGGATCAGAGAAAAATTCAAGCGATGCACGGAAAAGGTACTCACTCATAGTTTTCGGGATCACACAACAGCTGCAAATCCACGGAGAATCATTTTTTCTCAATTTCACTAGTAATGAATGGTTAAAGAGGATCTACGTTAAATCTTCATATCATGTTTTCAGTCAAAACAGCTAAAAGCAATCCATTGATACTTCCTCTTGGTCCTCTCAACGACCGAACCACCACAGGCAAGTACAACATCGATCTCAATGACGATGAAAAACCTTTGGCCACCGAGCAGCATGGTTCAAAGGACTCTCAACTTTTCAATGACCGCCAACATGCCAATTCCAGCCCTGCGTTGATCTTGGAACGTCCTATTGATCAGCCCCGGCCACTGAAACTCATCTACATCGGTGCAGGCATTTCAGGAATTGTCGCTGCCATTCAGTTTCTGAAGACTGTGCCGCACTTGGAATTGACTATTTATGAGAAGAATCCCGAACTAGGAGGAACATGGTTCGAAAACTGATATCCAGGCTGCGCGTGTGGTGAGCCTTGCAGGACCAAATCTCATGACATATTAACCGTTACTGACTGATTGTGCAAGTAGATGTGCCATCTCATACTTATCAGCTAACCTTTGAGTCATGGACTGAATGGGGTCACTTCTTCTCTGGATCAGATGAGATTCTCGAATACTGGAAACGTGTGGCCAAGAAATATAATGTTCGGAAACATATCCATTTCAATCGGCGATGCATCGAAGCACAATGGAACGATACCACCAACTTGTGGACTGTTCAGATCCAAGACGTGCTTACTGGATATACTTTCAAAGACTCGGCCGACGTGCTGATGACTGGAACGGGCCTGCTTAACGAGTGGAAGTGGCCTTCAATACCTGGTCTACAATCCTATAAGGGACAGCTGCTTCACAGCGCTAGCTGGGACGAAAGCTTCAAGCCTGAGGTGAGTTACGCTTCGTTAATAAACCCAGCACAATGGGTCTGATTGATCCTCAGGGAAAAACCGTAGCCGTAATCGGCTCCGGAAGCACCGCAGTCCAGATCGTCCCCGCAATCATCGACAAAGTCAAGTCTATGGACCACTACGTTCGTGGAGGGACATGGATATCCAACCAACACGGTAGCCCTCACCTTGCAGCAAGAACGAATAATCAGGCTATGAATTTTCGCTACACGGAAAAAGAGAAGAAGAAATGGCGGGATGACCCATCATCGTACCTCAAGTATCGCAAGGAACTAGAGCTAGAGATCCAGAGTCAATTCGCCATTTCCCAACGGGATAGCGATATCCAGAAGGCTGCGGCAGCACAGCTACGAGCTGGCATGCGGGAGAGACTAAAAGCAAAGCCCGAGCTACTGGATCTCCTGCTGCCTGACTTCCCTCCGCTTTGTAACCGATTGACTCCTGCTCCTGGATATCTGGAGGCGTTAATATCGCCGAAAGTCAATGTTATCGGCACACCAATTGCTCGTATAGATGAATCTGGTATCGTCACCGCAGATGGAAAACATCGCCCCGTGGATGCAATCATCTGCGCAACCGGCTTTGAAAAGAACCTAGGAGCCAATTTCCCAATTATAGGTCGTGATGGTAGCAGCCTTCGTGACAAGTATGCCAATCGCCCAGAGACATACTTAGGCCTTTGCACCGACGGGTTCCCAAATTTCTTCCAGTCCCTGGGACCCAACTCCTTTCAAGGGGCAGGAAACCTCCTCATCATGATAGAGCAGACACACGCATACGTCGCGCAGATATTATCGCGAATGGCCTATGGTAATGTCGGGATTGTAGAACCAAAGCGGAAACAGGTCCTAAATTTCACCAACTACGCGGAGAGGTATTTCGAGCGAACGGTCTACAGCTCCGAATGCAACAGTTGGTACAAGTCACCTCCAGCCAGTGCAACGACTCTGCAGCAGGGTAAGAGGGGTCATGTTACTGCTCTTTGGCCCGGAAGTAGCCTCCATGCTATTAAAGCACTTGAACATGTGAGGTGGGAAGATTTTGAGACTACAGCATATGACGGTAATGAGTTTGGGTGGTTCGGAAATGGTTGGGCTGAGGTGGAGAATTCTTCGGAAAGAGGAAATCCGGATGCAATGGCCTGGTATATAAACCGGACGTCGTTTCTTGATGGTAGTAATTAGTTGTTTGTTAGAAATGATCCAATAGTTGGTGTTCTATCTCCACCTCTTCAATGAATTCAGGATCTATGATGCAAGCCAATCTTCAGCTATCAGTTTTCTCTTCCCAGAGAATGCCTCTAAGTGTCCTCCCAAGACTTCATCACAAAGACCCAATTACACCCAATGGCTAACCCTATAGAACATGAAAACCATGTGTCGCATCCGCATATAGCATTTTAAGATGATGCATACATGAGGTTCGAATAATCATAAACTCCGTCTTCAAGCTCAGTTGTTGGTGCATAAAAGAGCGAATCCTAAATTAGGCAGGATTCGCAGTCTCTTTAGCGTATCGTTTAGTGCCAATAGCAATGGCCAGTCTTCGCCTTCTGTGGCTATGCACGGATGCCTAAGGACCACAACATCATCGCGAAATCAGCCTCGCGAAAATAAAATGGGCACCTTCAGCTCAGCAAAAGGTGGAACCCTTCATTTCCTTTTCAGGTTATTACCAAGATGCCCAAACATCTAGAGAACTTTCCTTTACATCCAGAACGAAACGAAATCCGACTCCTCACTATCTTACCCAGCACAAAGGCTGAATCCATAACCAGGTGCTCTCTCAAGTCTGTATCACTGGACAATAGCCCTGAGTTTGAGGCTATTTCGTATGTCTGGGGAGATGCCTCGAAGAAGACGGATATAATCATCAATGATACCCTCTTTTACGTGACACGGAGTGTGGATAAAACGCTCCGTCTTCTTCGCCGTAAGTATCGGCGACGAGTGGTATGGATCGACTTTGTCTGCATCAATCAGCATGATGTCCCTGAAAAGAACACACAAGTCCCATTACTTGGGCGTGTTTATGAGAGCGCGTCTGCGGTTATTGCTATGATGGTGAATAGTAACATGGATCTACGTGCTGCGATTTCTTGGACAAAGGCATGCGTGCCGGGCCGGATCACTCAAAAAACTGGTACATGGCGTGTCCTGGACAAAGTGAGCAGATACCACGACAGATATCGAGACCTAAGGGCGATGCGGCTGCTCAACGCGTACGAACAATTCCGACTCGTCAAGGATGACCCTAACTAGACACGCATGTGGACATATCAGGAATACCAGCTGGCCAATTGCTATCCAATTCGCATGAGTGGAACACTCACATTCAATGCTTACTTAATGCTCTCATTCGCCCGTGAGAGTCTAGTGAAGGCATATTGGAACGATCAAGAAATTCAGGAAGCATTTAGACGAAGGTATGGTGAGGCAGAATTCAGAAAGCTTTGGCTTCTTCATGGGCCAACCGAGCGATCCAAAGACGAGAGTGCCCTATATCACTTTCACAAGACATGGCATCGACAGTGCAAGGATCCTCGAGATAAAGTGTACGCACTTTACAGTCTGCTCCCTTCTCTACAAACCAAATACCCGCCGGACTACAATAAACCAGTTGAGCAGGTCATGCACGAAACAACAGCATATATCGTGACGAAATGCCCCCGAGCTCTGAGCTCCTTCAGACTCTGGCAAGGGAATCATTCACCTGGTTTCTCATCTTCTTATCCGTCCTGGATTCTCGACTTCGGTTGTGCCGCTGAACCTCTGGATGCCTTCCTCGGTGAATATGGCTGGTACTCAGACGCCAGGGTTCCATTGCCTACGACCACAGACGACCTGTCCACTATGACAATTTGTGCTCGTCGCATCGGCTCCTGCTTCCCGGTTGTACAACTGGCCTCTACAATGCCAGATATCATCGATCAATTTGTTAGCATCACAGATGTACGCTATGATACCTGGGGGGGCTTGGAATCCAGGCGTCTAAGTCTCGTGCATGCGTGCCTGGCTTATACTCATCTTCACACCAAATTTACACATAATCTAAGCGCCAAAACAACAGGGACATTCCATCTTCTCCATGAGATTGACATACATCGCGCAAGCAACCCGTGGTGGCAGGAGCTCTGTAATGTTCTTCCGTCGAATTCTGGGAAGATTGTTTTCGGAGTGGATGATCCGATAGTTGAAGGGTTCGGAATCAGCGGACCTAATGTGCAGCAAGGAGACGTGGCCGTGATGGCTCTCGGAGTACACATGCCGCTTATACTTCGTCCTTATTGGGAAGACAACGGGATCTATTATCGCCTAGTGGATAGAGCCTACATTCCCTTGATGTCCGAAATTGCTATATTACAAGGCATGTTTGACGATGCTCGGTTCTTAGAACGTCCACCTCAGGTATTTTCTTCACGATAGATCATCTCATTATCGCAGCTGTATATACTATATGGGATGAACTTCGGGGCTATGTCAATATGATTTGATGTATCACCTGTTGTATTAACACTGAATACCTGATAGCGCCGCTGTAACTAGCTCCGCTACGTTCTAAGTTCCCCGTTGATCTTATCCAGCTGTTCCTGGGCGATTCCGATGAAACGCAGGTGTCTAAGTCACTGAAACATCTTGTACGGAATCCGTTGAGTACGTTTCACACGCCGACGACGGGGGATGCGTGGTGGAGAGTGCCGGTTACGTATGTGACTACGACGAAGGATGGTTCGGTCCCGAGGGCGTATCGGGATTTTATGTTGGGGAGGGTGAAGGCGGAGGGGGTGGATGTTAGGGTTGTGGAGGTGGATACGACGTATAGTGATTTTTCTTTGTCCGGGTTGTGGGGGAGGTTGTGAGGGATGAGAGGGATCCTTGAGAGGGGGGCGGGACGGTCGTGCCGTTTAAGGTATAGGAGTAGTATCAGGGGAAGAGGGTCGTTGATGGTGGCTGGGTAGGATATTGGGTGAGTCTTGTGATATATTATATATAACACCTTGTAGTGGTGATGCTGTGATGGGGGCTAAGAGTGGTAAATATATATCTCTTGGCGGGGGTCGCTATATTCGGCTCAATATAGTATAGGTAAGAAGGTTTTGTGTCTTGCGAAGTAGTATAGCCAGCACCACACACAGTAAAAATCTCACCAAGCTACTACTAATGAATTCTGTTGGAGTAAAAAAGCACTTTCACGAATGGTTCCTTTATTGGCACTTCACCACTAGTGAATAAGGAATACAACCCGCATCAAGCGGTATCTACAGCTCTACTAACTTTGCATCTCATCCTCACTATCCTTGTCCTCAGGCATAGTAATCGGCAACCCCGAACTCGAAGAAATCCTCTTCCGCTCCATCTCCACCGCAATCTCATCCAGCTCATTCTCAATATCCAGGTGAATGCGCAGTCCCTTCTCAACAAGCACGTTATAAACATGCCTGAGTTCATCGAATCCCATACCATCGCCCTTTCTACTCTCCTGCGGATACTGCCCCCGGATAACATCTGCCCGGAGATGAGTGAACGCAAGCATGATAAGCTCCTTCGACCAAGGGCAGGCGCGCATTCCGCGGTAAAAGACAGACTTTGCTCGTTGAATGTCATTACGAGACAGTTCGAAGAGAATGTAGAGTTTCCAGATGGTGATGCTGGAGTGGCCGGTGGAGGTATTAGAGCCTTGGTGGATGGTGTCACCAATGGCTTTCTCGAATGCCGCACGGACAGAGTGCATGGTTGATCCGGCGTACGTAGGACGGTTTACTTCGGTGTATATTGAAAAGAGATGTGTCGTTATGGGAACTGGAGCGGCTGTGAGATTGTCTTTGTTGGTATTGATGCTGGTGATATCTCGTATTGTGTCGCGAACGCGCTCTTCAATGCGGAACCGGGATTCGTTCCAGGCAAAGAGGGATAGGAACATGGTGTTGTGGCGAGATACTGATATACTTCCGGATAAGAGGGAACGAATATGTGAGGGTTTGTAGATGCCACTTGTGCGGATGTGGTGATACAGGAGTCGGGCCCGGGATTGATGGAGGAGTTCGGTCGTGAAGTTTGCGAATGACTTGGACTGGTCGGGTAGGGCAGCTACCCTGGCGAATGCATTGTGATAGTATTCCAGGGACCTGCTTAGATCGAGGGAATTGGAGAGATACGATAGGATAGCTAGGCAGTCTATGCATGACGTGAAGACGATAGGCTTCTCGTTCGCAAGACCAATTTCCTGTGCTTCTGAAAGGTACTGGATGGAAAGTCAGCATTGTGGAAGGGCCGGTAAATCTGGTAAACATACACTTTGTATCTTCAGCAAACTTGTCGGGCTGAAGGACGGGTGACTGGAAGCATCGGAAAGGATCTTCAGATCAATGCTATTCTGGGGCATCGAAAGGAGGAGATGAGATGCTTGGGCCGCATTTCCAGCGTCGAGAAGCTCCCAAATCCAGGTGCGCCACACAATCATGCTATCCACCCTGTCGCGATCAGGGAAGGACTTGCTCATAGAGAGGGAAGTCGCCCATACATGATCGGCAGCTGCTTGATTGCCGAAGCGCCGCTCTATCAGAGCATAAGCATTGTAAAGTCGCAGGCTAGACGATCGCTTCTTGAGCAGCGATTTCGCGAATTTTCTCGCATCCTTGCTTTTACACGCAAGTTCAAGAGCAAGACCATATTCGGCTAGATCTTCATCTTCAGGCTGCGCTTCTATCAATGATCGGACGACTCTGCGAACCCACACAGGGTCGACATCGGATTGTGAATTAGAAGTGGCGTCGCTCCAGGTTTTAAGGGCAGAAAACCACTTAGCAGGATCAGCAAACAAAGTATCCAGCGTAATTATATAGTTTTGATGAGGAAAAAGCATAGGGGATGCGACCGTGGGCTCTATGTCAGCGGCCACACCAGGAAGCCAGTCCGCAAGCGTTGCATAAAAATTGCTTGCAAATTCGTTCTGCACGAAGCCATCCCCGTTCCAGCGACTTGTCGTACCCCAATTGTCAACCGACGAAACGGGTGGAAGATGAGAATAATAGAAGAAGCTATCAATCAGCACTCCTACAGGCGTTGGCTGTAGTGCCAGCGACAAAATCTCTTCGAGATCAGGTGCAATGATGACTCTGTAGGGGTCATCTTCCTCCGAATCATCAATACTGCGGGCTGGCAACCGAGCATTGACAATTCGTTCC